AAACAGCCCTCTGAACACAATGACTTATCCACTTAGTCAACAGTCAATTACTCATATGTGTCAACTTCAGAAGAACAGAAAAGAAATTAAAAGTAAATGTTTCCTTGTTAATCACTCAGGATTTTTTTTTTTATGTTGGCTGACCTAGTTCAGACTTCAAAATTTGGCATATAAAATAAAAATGTGGAATTGAAAATAAAATTCCAACTGGAAAAAAGAAACATTGTCATTGTCGACAAGTTAAAATCCCCAGCACTGAAACATTTACCGTAGGCTACATTGCTGAAATCACTATTCAAAGAAAACAAATCTGTACAAAGCTTTAGACACATAAGACACTGATCACTGAACAATCATTTATCATGTTGTGATTTTGTGGCACTGATGGAACATTCCTATCATAGTTAGCATAGGCTATCATGTTGGAGATGATGTGAATAATTCTGTGAGGATGATTGTGGTGCAGCTCAACGAAAAGTGCATTTTTGAATATAGGCTGCATATAGTCTTCATGTGTTTTGACAGCCACTTTTAATCTTACCTATCATACCTTTAAAACTGCAAATAACCAAAATCATTATAACTGGGTCAGACTATGACTTTACAACCATAGGTCCATGAGGAAACTGTGTCTTATCTGTTTAATCCATATTTTCATCTTCAGTTGCTGCCACATGCAATACACAAATGTAACATACAGTATAGGATTCCAGCACTATATCATTCAATCAAGTCTGGTAAATGATAAATGAATAGAGTATGCTGTATGCAGTGGATAAGACTCATGCCTTTGGTGTGAGAGACCTGGGTTCAAATCCACTGTGAGACACCAATGTGTCCCTGAGCAAGACACTTAACCCCTAGTTGCTCCAGAGGCGTGCGACCTCTGACATATATAGCAATTGTAAGTCACTTTGGATAAAAGTGTCAGCTAAATTAATAAATATAAATAATAAATAAAATGAAATAATATTTAATGCCTATTTTTATAGTATAGTAGAATACAGTACAGCTTTTCCAGTACGAGGGTTTCAATGCCAATATTTCCTTTTTCAGTTCCAGTTTTATCTTCAATGCCAAATTTTATTTTGAATGTCAAATTTTGTGTCAAATTTTACTACTGTTTTTTATGAAACATATTTACTGTTCATATCATCTGTTTGCTTTTGTTCAAAATTTGCATTGCCGAGTTGTGTCATCCACAATTAAACAAATGTGAATTCATTGTGGAGTCATTCGAGTAATAAAACAAAGCCAATGCACTCATAAACCCAATTTCCAAGTAAAGATCATTCCTTGAAAAGTAGCTACTGACTGTGTAGTCTTTTGGTACAGGAGGAGAAAAACACAAATAAAACATAGACCAAGGTCCTAAGAAACGTAATAAATGACCTGTGTGACCTCAATCATCAGAGTTCTGTCCTTGAAGCAGATTTTGCTTCTATGAGGATCTGAAACGAGATATTAGCTCACATATGATACGGTTATGCCAGTTCAGATGCAGGTGTGGAACCAGCGTTTTAAACCACAGCTATTTTATCATTTTGTCATTAAAAGCTTGCACAGGTTTGGAGTGTTTGTAACAGAGTGGGACAATGTACTTCACTTTAAATCATCCATCCATCCATCCATCCATCCATCGTCAAACGCTTATCCTGCGGACAGGGTCGCAGGGGGCTGGAGCCAATCCCAGCTTACATTGGGCGCTTTAAATCAAATTTTACTAATGCTTAAAATCAGTCGACTGTACTGTACACTGTGGGGTGCAAGCAGAAGTTTCATAAGAAACAAAACCATGGATTTTTCTTCTAACCTGACTTTTTTTTCCTGACAAACAAGTAAAGGCTTTAGGGTCTAAATGATCAGCGAATGTTTTTGTTACAGCTCCAGATCTATGGAGATACCAGCCTAGCAAACAAACAAACAGCTTGTTGATGGCCTACTGATCCTATACCATCACATAATTACTCACTGAAAAGATGTTAATTCTACAGTTCTTTCATTATTTTCCGTGTTGTATCTCAATGAAAACATGGTACTTCAAACAGATCAGACTATATTTGTTACGCCCATGTTTGTTTTGATTTTGTTGTGCTGCTCTTTCTCTCCTGTGCTCATCCAGGTACTGCCCTTCTCCCCACCTTGGAGCTGCAGTGTGTGATTGGTGGCAGCTGTCCATAATACCTAATCAGAACCTGAGTTAAAAAAGGCATGGAGAGAACTGTAAGATGACAGTGTTGATAGTGTGCACCTGTGGGTTGTTCAGCAGCTTCTATGCTGTATGTGTCAATACTAAATTAAGAGCTGTGGACCACGTTAAAACGACAGTGGTCTTCTCCCTGCTAAAGGGTAGGCTACAGGAGTGTATTTTCAGTTCGCCAGAATACCTCCTTTGTACTGATTCGGTTTCTCCTTTTGTGTTCAAAGAAAGCTAGTTTTCAGTTTGTTTATTTGTAATAAAAACACATCTGATTTAAGGCAGTTTTTCATGGTGTCTTTTTCCTTGGGTACTTTAATTCTGTAATGTGTTACTCCCCGCAAACCCTGGACATCCTGGGGATGTAAAAGTATTAAATAAAGTGCCTTTTACCACTGGAAAACTCTGGCCAAATCACCTGGCACAGGTGGTTTTGCACCTGAAATTCATGTCCCTGTTTGGTCTTACTAGCACCACCAGTGTTAGCTACGGCCTGTATTGTCAATGATGTCAAGATTTTACACACTGGTTGATTAATTAAATTAATTAATGGGAAGGACCCTTTAAAAAAGTTAATATTTTAACACCATTGTCTATATGGACATCTGACGAGGTCTCACTCAATGTCAAATAAAATCTCCAAAAAATACTGTGTCGTCAGCATTATAAATTCTCTTGCTGTTTTCACAGTTTTCACTATTTCAATCAAGGTCTATCGATCACCCTAAATAACATGGACATCTAAAAAGACAAAAGTCTAAATGTTAGTCAGTTGTGTTGTTACAGTTGGTGGGCTTTCATAAGGTTAGAATCCACTGAGTTTGGATTTTTTAAAATATGAAATCAAAACTACAGTATCTAGATGATTAAGGTTAACTAGGGGGGGAAGTTTATTCGGATTAACTGAACTTTTAAGCACCCAGCTGAAGTGGAACAGATAACAAGGGTCTGTCAGCAATTGCATGTTTTCTTCTTAAGGTCTCAGAGGTTAATAACCACTGAAAATATAATAGAATGTTGTTTTTAAGGAGCTGTCTTTGCGTTTCCTAACAAAGCCTATTTAGCCTGAAATGGTCGAGCCCATTTAGAAGTCCACATTAACAAAATGAAGAAAAGAAACGGCAACATGGAGGGTTTTTTGTGTTCTGATTCTGAAGGAGTTTGTTCTCTTGTGTTCTCATTTTTGGACATTAAGTAAAAAAAAAACTCTTAGTATACAAAGGATGTCGATAGCATACTTAAAAAAAGAATGAAAATAAGCTTGCATACTTCACTTGTGAAGATCACATCAATAACATAACTCATTAAGTTGGATTTTTAACTCCAAAGAACTCATATTCATTTTAAAGTCCAGATGACCTGATCATGGTTATGGTTAAGTAATTAATGACATCATTGGAAGACCAGAGTTTCATACAAGTCTGCTGAAGTAAACATCATGGTAAAAGCGAGATGGCTCACAAAAAAAGGAATTGTGAGGTTAACGTGTGTCTACAGCTTAAGTAAACACTGAATGGAGTAAGAAATTTGATATTTGTATGGAAATTATGGGAAAAGCTTCAGGTTATTTGGATTTAGGGTAGGTCTTTGTGTGAAGTCCATTGTCAAAACTATTAATAGAGAGAGAGTGAATATGATACAGTTAGTCAAATATGAGGGGAATTTGTCTTTGTGTGCACTGTACACTGCAGAGGAATATTCAAATATTTACCTTACAAGCATTCAATGCATGTTCCGATAAGTTCATGGTGAGCTCATCGTTTATGGTCATTTTAGTCATGCGAGGGCCGTAGCTCTCAGGTTGACAAATCCCACTCTTTGGTCTAGACTGAAGTATCTCAAGAGCCATTGGATGGGTCAACATGAAACTTTTGTAAAGACATTCATGGTCCACAGAGAATGAATCATTATGACTTTGCTGATCCCCTGACTTTTCCTCTATAGCTGGACATTGATATTAATACTTGTTTTTTACGACACATCTTGAAAACTATTTCTATTTATTGTTTCATGACATCTTGTCCAGATATCCATGGTGCCCAGAGGATGAATTATTTAATGACTTTGGTGATCCCCTGACCTTTAATCTGGCATCACTTGGTTTCAAGTGAGGAAGCTATTGGATGGATCGCCATTCATTTTGGTACACTCCCTCCTCAGGATGAATTGTAATAACTCTCCTGATCCCTTAACTTTTCATTTAGTGCAACTGTCCGGTCAAAAGTTCACTTTGTCCAATACTTTATGATTATGGTTTATGTGCAAATACCAGCAAAACAAAAATAGTAAATGTTAGCATACCAAGACAGTGAACATTATAAATCATTCCTGCCAAAGCATGTTAGACTATGTCATTGTGAACCTGTTAGCATGCTGACTTCAGCATTTAGCTCAAAGCCACAAGTTACAGCCCCACAGAGCTGCAAGCATTAACATAGCTGTAGACTCTAAGTCTTGTTTGATATTACCCTCACATGTCCATAATATCCTCGCAGCGAATTACATTACAATATTAGCCTAAGTCTTTTTTTGCTTTATTTTAAAAAGGTTTTGCTTTGCTGTGATACATGTAATATCCTCATTAATTTGTTGGTCATGTGATACTAATGTTAGCGTTAAAGTATTCACTTAATGTGTAAACAATAGGCTGAAAATGTTATTGACCAGGAGCTCTCCTGTATTGCTGATGACAGGTGGAGGCACAGCAGTGCAGCTCCAGTAGAGTAATGATGTGTGACAGGAGAGCCGGCCAATCAGAGGAGGGATTAAAGCTTTTAATGCTGTCAGAGGGTGCAGCTCCCGGTCCAAACCACCTGTAGCAGGCAGCAGCGACTACACCCCGGAGGACACCGCGTCGTCACAGCACTGTCAGATTCACAAGGGACTTCATAACCGGCTGGTCCTTCGAACCGTTTTTACAAAGTCACACAGGAGACCTGAAACATGTTTCTCAGTTATCTGCCTGTCGTGTTTCTCCTGGCCAGAGGTGAGTGAAGTTTAGCCTACTTCCACGGTTTTAGACCAGCAAACTGTTTTCTATTGACATAACGTTACTGCGCATTTGATTTGGAAAATGAACTGAATCCTGCGAATACACTGTCATGCTACTTTTTACCACTTTGAGTGTACTCGGCACAGATTTAATCCCCATGAATATCCTTAAATATGTTGTGATCAGTGGTCCTTTACCTAGCCTAAAAGTAAACATACTTTTATAAATTATAGTATAATCCTGCGATTTGGAAAGTAAATGTACATAAGTATTATTGCAAAATGTATCAAAACGTTTCCCTTTTGCCACAGTAAGTATATTAGTATTATTAATAAAAATAATACTGATTATTTTATTGTTAAGTAGCATTTCTGTTGTAGGCTAGTTGGTCTGACAAAATCTCCTTTTGCCATTATGTCCAATGTATGTTTATCATCTATTATAGTGTAGTTAGTGACAGAAAATCACTTTTAAGTAGACTTTATAATTTTTTATATATTGAAACAATCCTACAACCTATAATTTATATACAAAATATACAAAAACATAAATATACACCCAAATTTGATGAATGTGACTTTTTTGGTTTGGTTTATTGACAGCAGAATATTATATGTTTAAAAACACAAGGCCAACAGAATGATGAAGTGCTGGACTTTTATCACTGTTTACAGAATCCACCAACCTTTATAAAGTTCTAGACATGTGTGGCATTTACACATACTACAAAATAAGTATAGACAGAAAATGTTATCATATGAACTAAGAATTGTATGAATTTTTTCACATAGCAGACAAGTGAAAAAGGTGTCCTAGACAAACAGTTGTGCAACATTATGACGTTCAAGGTGCAAATATCAATTAATTAATTAGTAAACCAAACAAACATATTAGGGAATACTATCTAGCAGCCATTGTTTAACATTTGCCTTTAAAGCATACCTTAATTAAAGGAGGTATCTTTTTCCATTTATTCAAGTTTTGGAAGAAAAATACATCTTTTCTTCATCTTTCTTCTTTTTTCCTACACATTAACAGGGGGGGCAGGGGTTCCCCAAATAGTCTTAAACCCTGACTCACAGCTCCTTCCGTGTGACTCAGAGCTCTCTGGGTGGACTGATGCCAGCGAGGAGGCATCGGCCCTCCCGAAGCGCAGCACACTCCACACACAAAGTTTACTCTGTGTGTGCATAAGCGGACCCCCTCGACCATGCCCTGAGGAATTTTGAAGAGCTCTCCACTGCACAGACTCGCTAAGCTTTGCTGCAGTTAAATCCATTAGTCACCCTTTGTATTAATTTGGACTGTTCTGAAGTGCCTCCCTGTGATTCAAGGTTCCCATATGAAGGCTGAGAGTCACTGTCATGTGCCGGAGCCTCGCCGCCAGCCTGCAGGGTGCTTGTGTGTTTCCCCTTCTGTCATGTGTCTGCTTGTAGAGAAACACAGAGTCGGAGGGCGATAGAGGAAGACAGGGGGGTGATGGAGGCTCCAGTTCGGGGCATAACTGAGTGTGTCTAGCAGTAAAGAGGTCCAGATGAAAAGACCTCCTGAGGGTTGTGCTCCTCCTCCTCTGAGTCTGGCGCCACACTTGCTTGTGCCTTCTATTAGAAATCTTCCGGAGAGAGGAGCAGAGCATGTTAAATGCCTGCCTCTTCTCGTTTCCTCTCTCAGACCACATGCGGTTTGTCATGTCTCCTCCACATGTGTCATGTTTTGCTGGCTTGTCATCATGAGGTCATTACCAGAGCATGCACGGATTGCTTAGGGTAGTGGGATGAGTACATTAAGAGTTCAGTTTTGGTGAACACCAGTGTTGTTAGAATATCACTTGGTTCCTCTTCTCCTTGTTTCTGTTAAAATATTGAACATTGATCTCATTTTCCTTATTTCACACTCTCTCTAGCACAAATAGTTTTTACATCCACTTCTCATGCACAGTTGTTGCTGTTTTCTCTGCTGTTTCCTCCCTTGTCTTTTCTCTGTCTTGCTGTTTCGCTGTGTCCCTGCTGTATCCTGTCAGATTAGACCTGCTCCAGGGCAGTAAATCTCACTCTGTAATTGGAAAGCATGTGCTAGCGGAGCTTTAATTGGATATGATATGTGCAGAGGCCTTGCGAATGAGCCTTGTACCAGGGAGCCATCTGTTACCTCTGAGTTACAGAATAAGAGCTCTGTTTGTTCAGACTTTGTTCATTTCTGCGTGCCTCCTCCTTTTAAGGACTAGACACCTGGTCAGCTTCTTTTAATTTGTCTGCTGAACTCAGTGTGTTCCTGTTCTATAGTAATTGTAAAACAACCGTGGCCTGAATGTTTGCACGCGTGTGTCAGGCATCAAGTCTGTCTCGTCAGCAGCAGGAAGAGCCTCTGACAAACTGCTTAAATGACTGCTTATAAACTCAACACAACTAACTACTTTAGTACTCTTCTAATTGAACAGATCTATGTATGTATTTTCACTATAAATAGTACCAAATTCTTTCCAAGAATCGTCTTGGAAAATTATTTAGAATTAAAAAGAATTATAAAAGAAAAATGTTGCCAAAATACAATAATACATGTACACAAAAAATTTATCAAACAATACCAGAAAAATCAGTAAAATCAACTAGAAAAATAAAGCTTTAGAAACCCATCAGCTGGCTTGGATTACTGGTTAAAAGACCTCCCTTTATTGCTTTTCCTTTCTACCTCTCAGTCTTTGAATGTAGATACTTGTACTTGAGTATTGAGGGCTGGAGCAAATCCCACCTGACATTGGGCGAGAGGCTGGGTAGACACTATACAGATCGCCAGTTCATTTTTTACTGATAATATTAATAATAATACTATTTATAATAGTGCTATTTATTATTTAAGGTAGGACTTTTAATTATAAAAGTACTTATACATTTTTCAGGTAAAGGACAATACTTTCCCCACCACTGTCCAAAATACAGCTGTGTAGTGCAGGTTCCAGTTTATTAAGTACACCTGGCTAAAACTAATGCAGTCTAATACAACAGTCTGCAATAAATCTGACCTTCATTAAGATTATCATGTTCAGTTTTTGTTGTAGCTGTAGTAGAGAGGTGTTGATGCAACTTTACAATAATTTTGGAGGATGTATTTTGTGGTGCTGAAATGTTTTGTGTTTCACTGAGATCAGGTGTTTTAATATTTTATCTTCCACATTTGGATCAAGAAAGGGAGACTAAAGTAAACAGTTTCAACATAAACTGAACATGATAACAATTTTATTCACTGCATGACTACTAAGACTGCATTAGTTTTAGCTCTACCTAAAAAGTGGAAATTGAGTGTTGGCTGCAACTAACTATTACTTTAATTATCAGCTAATCAGACAATTATTTTCTCAATTCAATGATTAATTGTATGGTCCATAAAATGTCAGAAAATAGTGAATAATGTCCATCATCATATCTTAAAACCCAAGGTGTTGTTCTCAAATGCCTTGTTTTTTTCAAGACCTAATGGTATTCAATTTACTTTCACATAAGATGCTTAGTTGTCTAATTTTTTCAGCTCTAACAAAGTGTATAAATACACACTGAAAGAATGTTTTTAATAATATTGGGATATTGACTTCAGCCGTATTGCCCAGCCCTTCACCTCCACCGAATAAGGCCTCTGATTAGACTGACTGTTGACACGACATGCCCAACAGGATGATCTTTTTGTTTATGAAAAGCTTCCTCTCAGTCATGTCAGGTCGCTCCTGGTGACCCGACGTCAGCTGTGGTGCTTTGATGTGGCAGCCCTCGGGCTTGGTTTTCCCTCAGCAATGAATGCTGAAAGAAGCCGACCTGTGTGTATGTTCGTGTACCATGAGGCTTTGTAAGGCAGGGATGGGCACCTTTAAATGCCAGAGGTTCATAAAGCAGTGTGTTGGAAATGTTCACTCTTATTAACTGGCAAAGAGGCCCAAAGTGTGACCAGTAGTCAGCTGTGAGCTATATGCCTCTGGCATTTTTGTCTTTAATTAGCTTGTTTCAGATGTCATACTGCGTCATTTCTTCAACACAGGCACTACACACACACACACACACACACACACATACACACACACGGCGCTATAGGTCAGCTCTTAACATTACCCCTCTGTCCCCTAATGAGATGCTGCCTTTTGGCCTCAGGCTCTTCCTGGCTGTTGGGTCACAGCCTGTAGTTTCACCTCCTGCTCTGTGTGCATTCTTTAATCAGGTCCATCCTTCTTGCAGTGCTGCTGGACACAATAAAGAGCTATTCAGGAACACACTGTCCCCTAATCCCAACGATAAACTGGAAATATTTAATGGGGACATTGAAAAATCAGGAGTTTGTCTGCAGCCCTGTGGTCTGCTCAGGAATCCCTTCTATGAACTCTGGTCCTCGCTCAGACATGTGTGTCATTGATGCAGACGAGTATTAATTCTCAAGGAGTGGCATTGTGTTTGGGAAGTTGACGATGTGCGTTTGGGGAACTGGATCTGACAGTCAGTTCATGAGCAGGTACTACACAGGAGTGCTATTGTGTCGCATGAATAGAAATCCCCTGAAGTGCAGCGCTGCGCTGAAAACACAAGCGTCAACGCTGAAGTCTGGCTCTCTTTTTCTGTTACTGTTAGTGATTTGAAGTGAGTCGAAGCTTTGACAGCTGGAAGCAGATATATCCTTGGCAACAGATACACTCCCACGCTGCACTCTGTTTGACTACTATGTTGAGAAAGAAAAGGAATGATAGAGGCGATGTGGTGTGGCTTTAAGTGGCTTCAGTACAGTTTTGTAATTCACAGTTGGACCAAAGGATTCAGTGAGTAAAACTGGACCTTCTTTTTCCAATTCCTCCTGAGTGTGTGCTCGCAGGTTGAACTTAGACCCACTTGTCACCCTGCCTGACATCCCTTTTGTCTGTAGGGGATTATCCTGCTGTAGGTTAAATCCTTAGAGACAAGGCTTCGTGTTAGATGTGCAACGCAGAGTGTGCTCTGAATTACTCCACTGTTTCAAGTGCATCACACTAAGTGACTTCTGTTTATATTGTTTCATAAACCTTTCCAGTTTGGATAACTCCTCCATCACAGGAGACCTAGAAAATTAACAGACCTGTGCAAATCATAAAAACAAAGGCATTGGGCTGCTAACATGTAGTTTAAGAAATGCTGTGGTCTGTGGTGAAATTCTTTGATTAGTCTTTGACTAGGGTGTCACAGATTGCCTGTGAAATTCGTCACAGTTGATCCTATGTACTTTAAAACAGAGAACCAGCACTGTGGAAATGACAGAGAACCACTGTGATTGTTTGTGCTAAGTCATGCACACTCACATTCTTGACAATTTCCCTTTTGTCTATCACTTCCCCGTGTCCATAATTAGACTGTGTTTTTATGATGAGACCACTGCATTCTCTCTGTATCTTTATCTGGACTAATAATGACTAGATATCAGAAATACCTTAGCATGTCAGGAGGCTTTGTTTGTTATCATGAGAAAAAAAATCATATCATTCGATATTGATAATTATTATTTTAAACTATTCTTTACACTTGATGCCAAACAGTGGATCACTTCACAAATCTGAAGTAGAATATTCAAAATAGTTATGATAAAAAAAAAATTCAACAAATCTGCATGACTAAAAGAAAGTAAAATCTTTTTTTCCTCAACATAATAAATATCTTAATAGAAAAATTAAGTGCTAATTTGTCCACCTATCCATCCATCGTCAACCGCTTATCCTGCGTACCGGGTCACCGGAGTGCTGATTTGTTTTTTATTCAAATTAATTAAATCTTTATTGAACATTTGTTCTATTGTCATTGAGTAAAATTATCATTATTGTTTTATTGCCCAGCCCAACTCCCAGGTATAACTTATTTTCTCTCCGATGCACTATTTTAACCTCTGACCTCTTCAGTGTTCAATTAAGAAATGTGTCCATCCATGATTAGTTTTAGTGGATCATTAATCAAAACTGTAAACTTTGTCTGACAATTGTGTGGAAATGAAAGCTATTGATAAGAAAATGGTTTCTCCACACACACAGAGAGCTGATAAGGCTCTTTGAGTTTGCACCATAAATGTCACTCTTTTCTTCTTAACAGCTGTGTGTTGATCGATAGTGTGTGTTAAAAACTGTATTTCTAAAATGTGACAGACTTTCATTGCCTTTGCTCCTGCTCACAGATCTAGCTGCTGGCTCTGACACTGGCATGGCACCGAGCTAATGTAGTGGAGCAAGTCACACACGCCTGACTAATCTACAGGATGGAGTGTAAACTGAAACTGGCTGCCCAGTTTCTACAAAGCAAAAGGAATTTGAAAAACGGCTAAAATTTAATGATTTTTGATACAAGCAGATAAAACTTCAGCCTTTGAGACTTGACTGAGGAATGAGGGGCACAGTGAAATGCTTAACCTTCAACTCAGTCGTTCATGGAAACCCACACACGTCCTTGCAACTGATATTCTACTAAAATGCAACACAGAGAATGTAACAGGGCTAATCAAGACGGGAGGGTGGACTGGATCTTATTTAAGAGGTTTTTCATTAATCTTGGTCTCTGGTCATCCAGTAAGATTAGTTCACTGCCCTTAAGTCTTAATCTAGACGAGCCAGTCACAAATTGATTCATGTGCATTTTATAGCAATGATCACACACGCTGCTTCACATAATAGATCCAGCCCTGCTTATCTCTGCCATTCTTTTACTTTATGAGCATTAAAAACGTCACATCAGACCTATATGTCTTTCCCATCTTCCGTCACAGTGATTGGTCAATGTCTTATTCCATTCCACAAATTACTGAAGGTGGGTCTAGGCGTGTGTACATTAAATGCATCATATCCATAAAAGTCTGTTGTCACAGGGTGTGGAGCCTGTGCTTTTTCATCTCTAAATGAGTCTTGGTTACCAAGGGATAAAGACATTAGGTCACACAGGGCCTTGTACACAGAGAAAATAATCAAATCACACTCAGGATCTGATATTTGTTCTGGTTTTCTCACCACATCCTTGTATTTTTGAGATGACTTACTGGAAGAAAATGTTTGTGGAAGGCGTATGTTCCCTCTCTGGCTGCTGAGAAGGTTCTTTGAATGTAATCAATCAATGCATAGATATAAGGAGCTGAGATAAACTGGCTAAGTCATTATCAAATACCTCATACTGTTTGTACTTCTCCTCAAGCTGCCCTATGCCCTCTGTTCCCCCATAAACACAAAGTGAAGAGCAAGATAAATGGGAACAGGCATCATCACAACAGCACACTGAACACTTGACTGACACACGTCAGTGTTGTAAACAGCCGTCACTTACAGTAATTTGTATCTGCTGAGTCACAGCTTTTGTCATCTTTTAAGGCACTCTGCTTTAAATGTTTATTTAAGACACAAACTTGTTGCACTCTCTGATTGCAGCTTAAAGTCCTGCAATCTTTGGAATATCACGACTAAACAGAAATAAAATATGTTTAACAACCGATACAAGGTTTACAGTGTTTTCTGTAATTCAGTTTATAAGCACAAACTATAACCAAGGTCGAAAAAAAAACTGTCATCTTGAAAGACTAAAAGCAGTAATATCCTACTTAACGTAAATAACATCAATTGCCTTTTATCATTGTTGTCAGGACACTGACATGGAAATATTTGCTAATTAATGCATGGATTTCTCTCAGTAATTAGTATGAATATTTAATTTGGTAAGCTGTGATGGGGACATGGCATATCTTAAACTGCTCTTATCAATATTTGTATATTAACAATGGATCAAATCACTACTTATATGTGAAAGGCGTTGCTGGTACTGAACTATTAAGAAATATTACCTCAACCTTCTCTCAACTCTGTGGATTATTTTAACATGTTTAAGGTGACTGTTTTGGTTTTATGGTCCTTAAGATTATGGTTTGGGTCTACATTCTCTGCATTATTTCCAGTAGTAGCAGGCATCTGTTTTTTAGTGGTAAAAGCTGTGATAAACCACCTGTACTCTTCCTGCTCAGAATCAGACGGCAGCTGGACACAGTTAGCAACTAGCTGGTGAACACAGTGGAGCATTTAGCAGATAAAGAGCCAAAAACAGGAGAGGAAGAGAGTAAATACTGGATTTAGATTTATCTGTTGGACTCAAACACGACATAAAAAGAATGCTTATGTTGCTGTGTCTGCTTGATGTGAGAATAGGCACACATCCAACAAATGTGTTTACATCTACATCAGTTTTTGTTTCTAGAAACATGAGACACTCATTTAAAATTGGTGCAGTTATATCTATTTATCTGGACATTTGTCTAGTGTCTATTGCTCTCTCCCACAGTGTCTTTTCTGATATTACATTACCACTGTGTAATTCCAAAGTCAAAAATATTCAAATCCTACACTAGGGCTGACAGATTTTGAAAAAAAACATCTACATGTGATTACTTTGACTGGTATTGCAATTGCAATATGATTTGCGATATTGGATGGAATGGTATGATTTGAATGATTATGGTGTGATATTTGCAAGGGTCTGTACCAAACAGAGATGTTCTCTTAAGTCTGTAGAATATTATGTGTAGGCCAGGACATCTCTGCAGCATGACAATATTTAATTAAAATTGTATTTTGACACACTTTTGCCTTTAACAAATATTGCACCTTCTGTGATTTGAAAATTGCAATAGTCCATCCGTCTTCTTTTTTTCTGGTGGCTCACATCCCAGATTTGGACTCCCAAACATTTCAGTGAGATGTTCCCAGAAAAGAAAAGGTGATGAGCTGATTATATTTTGTGCTTTTATTTTCACTGTAGGAATGACAATGGATCTCAGCACTGATGCGACATCCACTACTCCAGCAACTTCAACCGGAAGTTTTACTAGTAACAGCATAACTACGATCACAAACACTAGCAATGACACAACTACTACCGCACTAATCACTAGCAACGACACACCCATCACACACACCAGCAACGACACAACTACAAGTACACCCATCACACACACCAGCAACGACACAACTACAAGTACACCCATCACACACACCAGCAACGACACAACTACAAGTACACCCATCACACACACCGGCAACGACACAACTACAAGTACACCCATCACACACACCAGCAACGACACAACTACAAGTACACCCATCACACACACCAGCAACGACACAACTACAAGTACACCCATCACACACACCAGCAACGACACAACTACAAGTACACCCATCACACACACCAGCAACGACACAACTACAAGTACACCCATCACACACACCAGCAACGACACAACTACAAGTACACCCATCACACACACCAGCAACGACACAACTACAAGTACACCCATCACACACACAAGCAACGACACAACTACAAGTACACCCATCACACACACCGGCAACGACACACACACCAGCAACGACACAACTACAAGTACACCCATCACACACACCAGCAACGACACAACTACAAGTACACCCATCACACACACAAGCAACGACACAACTACAAGTACACCCATCACACACACCAGCAACGACACAACTACAAGTACACCCATCACACACACCAGCAACGACACAACTACAAGTACACCCATCACACACACCAGCAACGACACAACTACAAGTACACCCATCACACACACCGGCAACGACACAACTACAAGTACACCCATCACACACACCGGCAACGACACAACTACAAGTACACCCATCACACACACCAGCAACGACACAACTACAAGTACACCCATCACACACACCAGCAACGACACAACTACAAGTACACCCATCACACACACCGGCAACGACACACACACCAGCAACGACACAACTACAAGTACACCCATCACACACACCAGCAACGACACAACTACAAGTACACCCGTCACACACACCAGCAACGACACAACTACAAGTACACTCGTCACACACACAAGCAACAACACAACTACAAGTACACCCATCACACACACCAGCAACGACACAACTACAAGTACACCCATCACACACACCAGCAACGACACAACTACAAGTACACTCGTCACACACACCGGCAACGACACAACTACAAGTACACCCATCACACACACCAGCAACGACACAACTACAAGTACACTCGTCACACACACCGGCAACGACACAACTACAAGTACACCCATCACACACACCGGCAACGACACAACTACAAGTACACCCATCACACACACCGGCAACGACACAACTACAAGTACACCCATCACACACACCAGCAACGACACAACTACAAGTACACCCATCACACACACCGGCAACGACACAACTACAAGTACACCCATCACACACACCAGCAACAACACAACTACAAGTACACTTGTCACACACACAAGCAACAACACAACTACAAGTACACCGACTGCTCAGACCAACAACAGCTCAACTTCGACTAAAGCCACGACACAGCCAGGCAACTTCACAACAACTCCAACTCCAGCGACCACACAAACCAGCCACGGCACAGCAAATACAAGTACAGTAACTTCAGAAATCTCTACAGCTGTACTAACTACAACTACACTAACAAACCCTACTAATACCTCGCCTGAGACTCCTGCATCCACCACCACACCCTTGTCCACTGTCACCTCCATCTCCACCTCCAGCTCTATCCCTGAAAACACCTCCCCAGGCAGTAGCCCCGCACCCCACACTGGAAATACCACCACCCTTAGTCCCTCAACAACAACATCAGGAGGTAGGACTAATAGCATGAATGTTAATGTGTGTTCTTACAAAATAATTCAGTGAGGACCATGATTTAAAGCTGCACTCTCCAAGTCAAGCCAAGTCACAACTCCTCGAATGCAAATTCCAAGTCAGTGTGCATGTTTTTCAGGTCTCCAAATGTGGATTTCTGGATTTCACATCCTTTCTTCTTTAATCAGCTGTATATGTCCATAACAAGACTAAGGCTCTGGTTGAAACAGAAGGCAGTTGCCTCGCTGGCTCACATAGACAGTATGTAATAGTGCCTCAGAAGGCATAACTTTCGAGTGAAGAACATTGGTTTCGAACAGCCTTTTAGGGCAGCACCTGCACTGCGTGACGTCAGCATGCTGTCTTGCTTCTCTTCTGGCTGTCATTCACTAGCCTTACTGTGCATTCAGACGAAACGCAAATTTAATCCTCGTGACGCCTTCCTCGCGGGGGTTTTATTGCTGGACTACTGCTAAGTGTTCACATACAACGCGATAACGCGAATAAACACAACCTGCGATTAATACAGCTGTATGAACCCAAAGTAAACATTTTGCTATGATTTAATTGCAATAAACGGATCAAAGTGATGCTGAAGTAACTACAACATGATGCAGATTTGATAAACATATGAATTCATGTTTTGTCAGGTCTGTCAGCAAGTCAGCAGGACAACAACTTTTAAAATGTTTTTCTTTCTGAATGGAGTTTGGATTAATTGGGGCTATGCTAACATTTTCACAGTAACGTACAACGGTAGCTGGAATAAAATAACAAACATATTTTCTAAACTCACCAGATAGATCAACCTCCTCGCTTACTTTTCTCCAAGCAATGTCAAGTTCAATGTCAATGTCAATGTCTGTCTGGTTTTTATATAAATATGAAATAGTAGTATCACAAAGCTCTGTGTGACCACTGACGCTAACAACAACAGTGGAACAGAAATGCATGGAAGCTCGCTGCTGAGAAGCGCGAGTGAAGATAAATCAACGTTGTAATCCCATAAACTAAAGTAAAAAGTTAATTTCTCCCGCAGCTAAACGGCAGAGCTGTCAGAGCACAATCCAGACTGGCTGCAGGTGTTTATTTATCCAAAAGCTGCAGCGCTGCTCCCAGCTCTGTCCTCGACAGCTTACCGTAGCTCAGCAGCTCTCCTTTGGCCAGCAATGTTTCACTTCCCCGCTCTGTCTGGTACTCTCCAAATCTCAACGCTAATAGGCTTTCGCGACTCAGTGTCACGCGACTTTCCCTTTGAGGTGAACATTTTCATCTCGACGCAAATGGCTTCGTGTTACCGGCAGCGCCCCCTCTGCACCGTCTGACAGGAATTTGCGACCCTCCGTGTCGTTGCGTTGACTTTGTATGTAAATGCGAGCTATTGAGAAGGCGAATGTCTTACAGACCCCTCAGAAATCATATTAAACAAACTTGGTTAGTTACCGTCACAGGCTAATAAGATATTACAGTATTTAGTTCTCACTAACTTTTCAGGCGCACAGATTTATGGGTAGGCAGCATTGATGCTGCAAAATTGACCGTGACAAAGGCAGTTTAAAGTCATCTTATGTGACAAGACAAGATTGTTTGATCCCTTTCAAACAGCATGCATTGCTGTCCTGTTAGACACAGAGTCTACATCTATGCGCTGTGAGGCCATACAAAGCACAGTGGTGATTTGAGCTCAATGCGAACATCAGCATGCAAACATGCTCACAATGACAATGCTAATGTGGTGATGCTAAGAAGGTGTAATGTTAGAATGCTAACATTTGCTAAATAACACTAAACACAAAGTACAACTGAGGCTGACGGGAATGTCATTAGTTTTCCAGGTTTTTGGACAAAACCAAAGTATTGGACACATGAAAAATTCAAACAAGAACGTCTAAATTATTGTACTAAATTGCAGCTCATGAAATATTAGGAAAACAATCAACTACAGTGAACATGTGGCATTCATTGTTTTAGAGATGGCAACATTGGAAAATTAACATTTTAATATAACTTTTCACAGCATCCATGCTATCCTGATGTTTGTCCAACATAACTTGTGATTGCAGTGCTTTCTGGTAGTTGATTTTAAATATGAGATGCTGGAGATTCTTTTTGTTTTTAAATAAAGAAGGTACCAATTAAACAGTACCAATTGTCAAATTACTACTCAATGAAACATTTGACAAACATATATAAATTAATAACAAACAAAGGCAACATCTTCTTTAAGTACTTATCACAACCTAACAGGCTTTATATCAACTGAAACCTACAGTGGCCTGGAAAGTAGGAAATCAATCTACAAATGGATGGTATGCTTTGGAAAATTGTCTGCAGTAATGTAAAGTATATGTGATTTGAAGTTAATGGGTTTTAACAACAACATACCACCGTGGTCCTTTTAATAATTTAATATACTGTAAGCAAACTGCAAACAATGCAAAAGCCTTGCCAGTACGTAAAAAATGAGATTAAGGTAAATTGTAATAATCTTTGTCTAATAAATTTGCCTTCAGCAGCTTTAAACAGTTAAATGTGCAGTGTGTAAATAGTCATAGTACAATTATTAAACATTGATGTTGGCTCTGTTCTCTGTTTAAATGTTCTTGGACTGATCTTTACATTGTTTTTGATACAGAAACCACAAATTTTAATTCTTCAACTGAACCAGCTAGTGTCAGTACACAAGCTTCAACGACCATTAGTGCTGGCACCACCAGCACTGTCACCACCCTGCGACCAACAGACATCACCACCAACAACTCCACCACAGCAGCCCCGCCCATCCCTACCCAGAGTCCAGTCATAGGTTTGTACCTTTCTCGTGGTCCAGATGTATGTAGGTTTTTAACAAAAAACACTATCAATCAAAAAAAATTAACTGATGAAAGAAATTCCTTGGTTGGAATTAAGTCCTGCATACACACACAATGCTAGAGATAATTGCTTTCATGTATTTCATGATAAAATGTTTTACAATGAGAAAAAAAAAAAAGATTTGTTGCATTGGAAGTTAAAGCATATATTATCATCATTTTTCTTATAACAAAATGAAATCGCAATGTGAAAGGTGTTGAAGAACACAGAGATTATCACCTGAATTTCCGGCTCCCCTCTAATTTACAGGGCCCGTATTTATCAAGCTTCTCAGAATTACTGAATATGAACACTGCTAAGAACTGACTTAAGAGTAAAAAAATTCTTGGCTCAAAGCTGTGCTTAAATGTTTGTTATCAAGCATCATAGCCCCAGTTTGAGTGAAGTGACTAAATCTTAAGTGTCACTATTAGTGCTGATTTACGACACTTTGCTGTGCTGCAAACAGGATTTTGGATGACGATGTCGCCAAGGACCAATCACTGAAGAGATTTCCTTCTTTAAGAATATTCTCAGATAAATTCACATTGAATGGAGGAGTTTATATTCAACACACATTTAAGAATAAAGAATTTTCAAGATAATACATTATGATATAGGCCTATACATTAATAAATGAAAGATAATCTTTTTTTTATCTTTATATGAGCAGCATCAAATGCGCTCCTGTATTGCTGGCTATATGAACTGTGTTTGCGTCTGTCGGATTACTGGGGGGTGTTGTTGGGAAGTCGATGAAACATGTGACAGTGTATGGAGCTGTAAGTGCTAAAATTGTTTCTGTAATTATTTGGCTTATTGATGGTTGTGACTGCCAAAATCATCAGCATTGATGCGTTTCTCCTGTGGCAAATAAACGAAGCGTCATCTCCACCTTCAATTTAACTGAAAACGCATTACTGTGTAAAGTCAGTGGTGAGATGACGTCCCTCACCAACTCTCTGACAAAGTTTATGCCTGCGCTGTCCGACCCCGTCTTATTAACTGCGCGTCGTCAGAATTCTTCCTCTCCTCTCTGCATGTCTCTGTCTCCACAGCGCCATCACAAGCTCTACTGGCAACTCCTAACCACTTGAGGAGACTGGGAGAGTAAGAGTGATTCTTAGCGTTGAGAAATTTGAAAACTTTCTTTTATTCTTAAGTTTAAGAGTAGGAGTAAATTTCATGAATTCTCAGCACTTAAGACTAAAATGGCACTTTGAGAAGCTTGATAAATATGGGCCCAGATCTTTATAGTGATTTTTAGCTCATAGTTTAGCTGTCTGGCCCACAACTTTACTGTTTTGGTTCACTCTAAGTACTCTCAATGTTTTTGGCCACAGCAGACATCTGTTTAAAAAAAATCTGTAAAAACCCACTATACACTACCAGCTCAGCACCATAGCTAGACACAGAAACAACTAGTTTGTGAACATGGTGGAGCATTTAGAAGCTTAAAAGTCAGATATTTCCCTCAGGAGTTGGTAGAGGCCAGCTGCTAATCTTTTTTCTTCAATCGCTCATTAGTGTGTCCGGCTGTCCCGTGCCCACCTGAAAGCGTCTGTCTTAATGGCACCTGCCAGTGTATATCTGGCAGCTTCCTGCTAAATGGCCGCTGTACACCTGGTGAGAACAAAACAACATTTCATGTCTGGTCAGATGAAAAATTACCTTAACAGAAATCATAACGGGAGTGGCGATGACTTATTTTCTCCTTTCCTCCTTTTCACTCAGCCCAAGTGTTCCCAGGCCAACTTCATCTCACCTCCTTGACATTTGTAAAAGAAATGAGCAACAGGTCCTCCAAAATATTCCAGGACACAGCGGCTAATATCTCAGCATCGGTAAGAAGCAAGCATGTTGAATAATTATAATAAATGCTCCTTTCTCAGTCATTAAACTACATGTTTATTCTGTTTCATAGCTCAGACTTGCCCTTGGAAATCTGCCAGGGTATAAACAGTCTGATGTTGTGCAACTTGAGTGAGTATATACTCTTTCTCCAACAGAAAGATATTATGTCACCACTTAAAAAAGATTACATATCTCTTTTGGGGCTTCTCTTTAATTCTCTAGGCCAGGAAGTGTGCAAGCAACTGTAAATAACATCTTTCAAAACACCAACACCACTAAAGAGTCTATTGATCAGTCCATTCAAACGGCTATAGCAAGTGGATTGTTGGTTAATGCCACATTTACAAGTAAGTACTGCTCATACACTATCTAAGTCTTTCATTCTGGAAGAATGAGACACAGGTTACATTTTTTCAAGAAGAAGGTTTTTGTCATACAGCTGTTTTATATCCTGTCTGCTTTAGGTACAAACCTGTGTGAACAGAACCCTCCACCTTGTGAGGGCTCCACTACAACGTGCGTTAGTATAAAAGGCCTGGCTACTTGTTCCTGTAAAGAGGGCTACTACTCCAACATTTACTCAAACACTAGCTGCAAAGGTAAAAGTGACTATTTAATATGTATTTGTTTATGTATCTCCTTTACCAAGGCTAGGGTTGGGTTTAAATAAGCAGACAAGATCATGTTCTTGTGTTTATGTTGGGTCTTTCATATTTTAAACATTTGTAATCTTTACAATGTGCCGCTGCCAAAGCACTATAGATCATAAAGCATCATATATACACTCACCTAAAGGATTATTAGGAACACCTGTTCAATTTCTCATTAATGCAATTATCTAATCAACCAATCACATGGCAGTTGCTTCAATGCAGACAATCTCCTGAACTCCAAACTGAATGTCACAATGGGAAAGAAAGGTGATTTAAGTAATTTTGAGCGTGGCATGGTTGTTGGTGCCAGACGGGCCGGTCTGAGTATTTCACAATCTGCTCAGTTACTGGGATTTTCACGCACAACCATTTCTAGGGTTTACAAAGAATGGTGTGAAAAGGGAAAAACATCAAGTATGCGGCAGTCCTGTGGGCGAAAATGCCTTGTTGATGCTAGAGGTCAGAGGAGAATGGGCCGACCGATTCAAGCTGATAGAAGAGCAACTTTGACTGAAATAACCACTCGTTACAACCGAGGTATGCAGCAAAGCATTTGTGAAGCCACAACACGCACAACCTTGAGGCGGATGGGCTACAACAGCAGAAGACCCCACCGGGTACCACTCATCTCCACTACAAATAGGAAAAAGAAGCTACAATTTGCAAGAGCTCACCAAAATTGGACACTTGAAGACCACGGCCTACCTGAGCATTGTTTCTGACCATGTCCATCCCTTTATGGCCACCATGTACCCATCCTCTGATGGCTACTTCCAGCAGGATAATGCACCATGTCTCAAAGCTCGAATCATTTCAAATTGGTTTCTTGAACATGACAATGAGTTCACTGTACTAAAATGGCCCCCACAGTCACCAGATCTCAACCCAATAGAGCATCTTTGGGATGTGGTGGAACGGGAGCTTCGTGCCCTGGATGTGCATCCCACAAATCTCCATCAACTGCAAGATGCTATCCTATCAATATGGGCCAACATTTCTAAAGAATGCTTTCAGCACCTTGTTGAATCAATGCCAAGTAGAATTATGGCAGTTCTGAAGGCGAAAGGGGGTCAAACACCTCCTTTAGGTGAGTGTATATATCATCATATATAAATGGGCAGCATGGTGGACCGGTGGATAGCACTGTGGCCTCACAGCAAGAAGGTCCCGGATTCGAACCTGGCCTTTCTGTGTGGAGTTTGCATGTTCTCCCCGTGTCTGCATGGATTTTCCCCAACATCAAAAACATGTTAGGTAGGTTCTTCAGTCATTGCCGTTTGACCTGGCACTGCATTTCAATCTGGAGTTGGTCCCTGGGTGCTGTATAGTGGCTGCCCACTGCTCCCTTCAGGGATGGGATAAATGCAGAGGATAAATTTCACTACATGTATGTGTATATGACAAATATTTAGACCATAAGAGCTGATGACCCACAACTCCTGAGAGAAGCTCAAGTAAATTTTTCCCAGCTGATCTACAGTGAAGAGAACTGTAAGAACACTTTCTTATCCTCAGTGAAATAATTGTGTATGAGAGTGAGGGAGAGAAACAACAGGGAGCGAGAGTCAGAGACAAGGTCAAGAGCTGTAGCCTTTTCTCCAGGCTGACCCTTGGCCCTTGCTTCATTTATCTTTCAGATTTATTTCTTTTTAATGGGGTTGTTTCCCTGGAAACATGTGGAAGAATTACAGCTTTCGCTCTCTGTGGAGGGTTGTGACCGAGGAGATCAGCTATAGGAAGAGTGAATAAAGAATTAAATTAAAAGAATAAAGACTTTCAGACAAATGCTGCACAAAGCTTGTTTCCCAGAAAAAAACATAATGTACCACTATGTGCGTGTTTGTAATGGTCATCATGCAGCCTCTATATGAAGAGGCTCTCATTGTGCTCATGTTTTCATTGCATGTTCAACCAGGCGTACTGTACGTCTGCATCTACTGTGACTGAGTCAGAAACTGTAGCTTGTTATAGTCTCTTTGTGCAAAACATTGTGTGTGTGTTTGTGTGTTTACATTTTTGTGTTTCTTTTTGTAGCGTGTCCAAGTGGGCAGAGGGCAGTAGAAAACTCTACTCCCCCGTGTCAACCGTGAGTACACACATTGTTAATGTTTTTCTTTTCAGATGTGGGGTGTCTGTGTATTACTGTGTGTTGTACATGTCAATATGAAGTTGGCTTCCCTGTGTGGATTCAGTATTATAAACTCTATTAATATGCTACAAGACAACCCTGAAATTTAAAGTTTAACTGCTCTGTTTTGTCTTTCAGATGTGCATTCGGATATGGTGGCTTCAACTGCAATGATTGTGAGTAACTACATTGTTCCAAAGGCAAACATGATGGAGCAGCAGTAGTAACAGTTGTGAGCTGACCCGTAAACATCTAAATATGTCTTTATGTGTGTGTTTTCAGCATCTCTGCTGGCAGTGGTGGTCATCTCCTGTGTACTGGGAGGTGTCCTTCTCATCCTTGTCCTGGCTTTGCTTATATACTGCTGCTGGTGAGCTCCTCACAACTATTCCAGCATCAATACTGACTTATTTATACTCATTGTGCAAATAATCAACTAATGCCGTAGCTCTGTGGAAAGAAATTCATATTTACATTCTGCCCTTTGCAACTTTGACCCATGTTATCCCTGTAGATATGGCTCTGGATATTTGCAGGTCAAAAAGCATACATTTTTGTAGAAAAGTTAATTAATAAAAAGTAAAAAGTGGTTCTCTTGCATCATTTTAAACCCCATATTTCAATGTGTAGTTCTGACCTGTGTCACATTGAAATTCAATCATTGAAATGCAATTAAAGCAGCAGTTGTATGTAACCTATATGTCTAAAAATCTCACTTGCTAACCAGGTGTATACACTTTTTGTGTTTGAGTATTTATAGCAGCAGGATGGTGTACGAAGAATTGAAAATAAAATACAATGATTGTGTTCATGGTAATAAAGAAACCCAGTAAAAAATGTTTTTGTTTTTTTACAACAATGGAGCTCTGTGACACAGAGGAATAAGACACAGATTTCAATATACGAGCAGTGCTTGTTACTAGGATCATCCTTCATCCATCATTGTTGGATTTGATAAACAAAAAGGAAAATATACTGTACTGTACATGCAGATTTTACATTCCATATTGTCTGTACAACAGGAGGGGATGCCCAAAGAGCAAGCCAGACTACAGCAGCAGTCCGTACTCATCAGGTGAAATAAACCAGCCCTGGCCCACTGGCATCACCCCCATCCCCCGTGCAACCTCCAACTGGGATGCAGCTCCTTCCATAGAGATGACAGAAGGGGGCAACACTTATGGCTTGGTGGACAAAAAGCATCAAACCAACGGACTGGTGTGTTATCACATGTTCCTCTGTCATCTCACAACCAATCCTCAGACTCACTGTCTTTCATACCATCCACTAAATCAGTCTTTAGTTTGTTCAGTCTTAACCCAGAATCTTGCATCAGGTTCATTAATCTGAAACCCAACCAGTAAGCATGGATTTGGCCATTTGCATGCATACATCGAGGTCTATGTTAACACCTGGCTAAATTAGGTTAGTAAAGTTTTATTTTTACATTTAGGCTCCATATAAACTGTTGTTTATACATCAACATCATTTCAATGAATACATTTTAATGTGGAGCTGCTATTTAATGAAACACAATGCTTTTCTACCCAAGGAAGGTTAAAATCAAAATCAACTGAACTTGGTTGAAGATACTTGAGACTTCTTTGGTCTCATTTCCTCATCCAAGAGACTTCTTCAGTTCTGACTGACTGGTAGCTGGTACACTCAGCTATTTAACCTCTGTGGGGTCGTAGCTGAGTTTCAGTCAGAACTGAAGAAGTCTCTTGAATGAGGGACAAAATGTCTTCAAATATCGTAAACCAAGTCCAGTTGCTGTTGATTTTAACCTTCCTTGGATAACTATGGATGACTGAGAACCTTCACAGACAATGCTTTTCTACCAAATGTTTAAGTTTTAACCCGAGACACATGGTTTTATTTGCCCTGTAAATCAACAAATCCATACTAACTGGGCACACATCCATCTTGTATCATTTCAGATACTCTGTGCGATGTATTGTATGTTTATGTTTGGTAAACCCAATTATTCAGAATGTATGGTTGTGTATGTATAGAAGTTCTAGCACATAGCTCCCTCCCATGCTCCCTGCTTTGCCTGACTCAGAGTGTGTTACTTTAGGGGTTTCAGCTGAAGTGGAAAGGATGGAAAAAGGTAAGGCGTGGCTTTGCTTTTAGATTCTAATTTGCCGTGATGCCCCCTGCTGATTATTTAGACAGGCCACAGTGAGGATCAAGGTGGCAGGGTTTCAGGGTGATGGGAAACTTCATGAGGGATCTCTGTTGTGGAGAGGCATGTGCTTTCATCTTCATGCTGAATCTAGTGACAGTTCAAAGAAACTCATCTGATGCTAGATGGGGAGTACTCGTGAATACTGGTGACTGCAGTTACTTGAGTATATGTATTTGGCTTTTGTGGGTGTTTGGGTGCGGATATGTGAACATCTGAAAGAAACTAATACTTTGACTGCTTCTACTTACATTTCAGTCGGGATCATATGATCTGAACCCAGAGGGAATGAAGACCTTCAAAGGTAAAAACCCGTCCCGGTACTCCTATTTGGTTCAAGGCCATGAGAACCCCTACTTTTTACCAGGTGATGGGAAGACTGAATGAAAAACATCACGGCCAGCGGGGGAAGAAGTCCGTGTAGAAGTGAGGAACGTGGGATCAAAAAAAAGTCATTGATTTGAAATTCTATGTGTACAGGCACATTTCCTGAGCAGGACCAGGTCGGTTTTTGTGCACACGTAAACTTTTAGTACACTTTTAGTAAGGATCCTACGCACTGTTTTATAAATGAGGCCCCAGGTTATACTTTTTTTTTAACATGCTTGGATTAATGACAAATCACAAAGGACATTTCTTAACTGGGAAACAGCCACCAAAGAGATTAAATCATATGAGCAAGATCATTTTAACAATTTCTTAAAAGTGAGGTTGTATGCATCATTTCTTTTTTTTGGAAAAGGTAAATGGTGCTGAATATAACCAGTAGGTGTTGCTGTTGCTCAATCTAAATCTCCTGCTGTAAAGGTACATTTGTCTTATTTATGTTTTAAATAATTCTGTAGTCTTTTAAAATTTAGCTTCTTACATGATAATTGCACTGAAGTGTGTTTACCACCTGTTTTCCTCTGAAATCAAAGGTAAATTGAATGTGGGTGTTCAGGGGCTGATAGATATTTTTGTTATGGGTATGATTATTCTTTAGAAAAATAAATCTTGTATGATTAAAGGGGCTGGATCCCTAGTTCGGGGTATTTTTTTAGGGCTTTATATTGAAGCTATTTAAAGCTGAGTACTCTATTTGCTGAAGCTGCACTCGCAAAATGTGCCTGTTTTAAAGGTCTGTTTGACAAATAGGAAACATGCAAAGCTGATGATAAAGCCTGTCTCCTGGATGTGCCAATTATCACATTTCTTTTGAAAACTCTTAGATATATTTATCCTTGTGTGTCTGAGGCACTGAACTATTTTGTTTGTGTAAAGGTTTTGTAAATAGCTGAAGATCTTTTGGCAGAGAATGTGTGTATGTGCGATGGAAATAAATTAATTTAAACACAACAGTCATGCTTCTCATCATCGTTGTCAGTTTAACTACATAAATACTCAAACGGCTAATTCAAGCTTGAGTCTTTTTTTGTGTCACTAATCATCATCATCTGTGTAGAGTAGGATGCTCTGTCATTGATATCTGAAGAGTTAAAAGTGGCCATAGGTCATTCATTGAATTGTTCTGCAAGACTAATTAGGCTGCCCAACAGCGCTGTCAGAGGACAAGCTGCCTAAAGCTGCAGAAGATAAAGATTAGAATTCAGGGGAGTTCAACTACTACATTATGTTTGTTTCAGGTACTGGAGACCCCAGGCCATCTTTTAACAGCTCAAAAACATACTGAACATTGTTTTATTGGCTTGGTACTTGGACTTTTCCAATGAGAATCTCTGGTAAACATGATTTTATACTGATGTTTAAGTCCACTAGAGAAAATTATCCTTTACTTTACTTCTGTAAAATGTGGTTAAATACAAATGTATTTTCAAACGCTCTATATGTGTAATTGGTATGGACAGGAATTTTAACACAAAAGGGAAAGAATATATAGAATGTAAAGGGAAAGACATGTTATTTTTACACATACAGCAGGGATGGAATGAGGAAGTAAAGTCAAAGTCAACCAAACACTAGGATTAAAAGTTCCCTGTGGAGTTTTTTACCTCTAGTAGCAATTGGGCTGTTTTTCAATGAGTGAGTCCCCGTTTGGCTTAAGATGAAGAGAGATAGCAAGTAGACATGAATGTAAATAATGGTGGATTGAGATTACTTTATAATACCCTCAAGGGTAAACACAAACTTTATGTTCACATAACTTCTGTTAGTTACAACAAAACTCAACAGGGCGCGTTTAAATATAACATATAACATTTTGTATCACATACATTATGTTCAGTCATGTTTTATGTTTTCTGCTCTTTCCAGTACTCAGGGGCCTTGTTATTCATTATACTTTCTTTAAAATAATTAAGTTGTGTTTCATTTCCCTCATAGGATTGAGGATGTATCTCAATTAGATTTGTTTTTGAAAATAATTGTGTCTCCGTCAGCGTGTTTTAATCATATGTTTATATACCTAGAAAACTGTAATAAAATAACTGTTCTCAAATTTAATATATATGCATATGACAATCTGCATATGCAAAGTGAAACATTTAATTTGCTGGGTTGCTTTTATAAACATCCAGGCTCTCATTTAAATTGAACGAAAGGTAAATATTGCTGCAGTTCATTATGCAGCAGACCTAAATGAATGGCCACATGAATCACAGTGTTAATAAGATTTTTTATGGAGATGGGGTTGGCGCAGCACTTTGTCAGGCTTCACAAGTTTCATGTTGCTGTTTGTGTAAAACTTGGCTGGCAGTGTGTTGCTGTAGCGTTAGAATATGCTCCTCACAGGCTCTTAAAAGCTTTGGTTTGCTGGGAGGCTAAATCTGGCTTTGCCAGGCCTTAATCTTGGGCACTGGGTCACTGGAACACACTGTGACTGGCACACACAGGGTATAAATCATGTGGTGTGTTCATTTGTATTTGCATTCATAGAATAAACAGTTGTGTGTGTGTGTGTGTGTCTGTGTGTTTACTGTGTAGCATCCTGATCTGTAGCTTAATGCCAATGCCAGTTGCAGGGCTGGATCATCTGTCTTTGAGTAAATAACACAAATTTAACAGTCACAGATCTTCACATGAAAGAGGGAACATGGTATTTGACTTGTGTGCATTGAGGAAATACGGCACAAGCTGCATTCTCTGTGTGAGCCAATTAACACCTCTGCATGAATTAAACATAAAGTAAAATTCAGCTGATGTGATGGAGGACACTGAATATCAATAAAATGTTATTACTTTATGATAGTCACATAAATTTAAACTCTCACAACCCATGTGTTCTGAACTCATAATGTAACAGTGACTACTAATTATAGAATTATTATTCTATATTATATTATTATTCTTCTGTTATAAGCAGCAGATGATACTGATATTGATCCATTTTGTCAACGATATTGGGGGAACTGGGCTGAAGTTCATACCATAAGTTCATACCAACATGGAGTCAGGGGGCGGCTGAACGTTTTACTGATGTGATAGATTAGGTAACTGGATAAACTGTTATCATTTGATATGGTCAGTAGGATAATAAAGTGAGTGTTCATTAAGTTCTCTGGCTTTGGTACAAAATTGCTGGCAGATCTACTGCAAGTGCAAGAGAAATGTATTATGAAAACCTCTTATCTTTTGTTAAATTTCCTCTTTTAGCTGCAGTGGATCTCATTTGCAAATATTATAACCTTCAAACTCTCTCAAAACCCAGTGTGTATCATGAAACATAAACTGGTGGTGAAGATAAAAAGCAGGTTTTTCCATATTCCATACAAGGTTTCCATCTGACAGCAGTACAGTTCAAAATGTGCGAGGATTGGAATTTCCCATTAACTTGAATTATACTGTCCACTTAATTTTCTACTTTTTCTGTAATGGGCTCTGTCAGCCAAGGCAGCTGTTCTAATCTGTGCAGGAATGCATTGTATTTTGTACCCATTACCAGCCTGTCAACTCCGGGCTCTGTCTGATGCAGCACATCCCATCAGCCCACAGGCTCAGCTGACTGATCGATAGACCACTTAGCGGCCGTGAGCTACACATCCCAGTCATTTGACCGGCTGGAGCTGTGGGAATGGGCACGCAATCCAATAAGCATCGAGCCACCGAGACAAGCAAGCTGGACCGCCAACTTAAGGAACTTCCTCACCTCTGAGAGGCTGTTCTCGATGGGAGGAGATGCAGATCCAATACTCTGCAGGACTCTGTTTCAGCTACCCTTATGGTGAGATAAATTAAATGTGGCCCCTAATTGAGGTACTGATTCCATCTCCAAACTTAATAAGGAAACTGTGCACTAAAGACATCTGAAGCTGTTCCACAACCCAATTCTTAATAACAAGTGCAGAGATACAGGGGCATGTAGAGTTAGGGTTAGGCTATAATATACCAATCAAAACGTATACTGCAAATTTTTTTTGCAGTAGGGTTAGTATGTGTCACCTTGGTCTCTGGGAAAAAAGGGATGGGCATTTCTCCCAATATCAAATATTTTATCTAAAAACAATAATCATTGAATCGAGAAAACAATCAACAGAATCATTCAGTTATGACAATAAATGTTAGCTGCAGCAGTATAGCAAAATGATAATTGTATACCCAGAAGTTGAAATTTTGGCTTCATGTGCCACTAAGGAGCTTTCATAGGAATGAATAGAGCCCAGCCTCCAATGCTGTATCCAGTTCTCTTAATGCTTTAATACTGGAGATAGGTTTGGCTATGCGAGGCATAGCCAGGAAGCAGAAGTCTTGCTCAAGGACAATTCTCGCTCTGAAATCTCACGAGAGAGTTGCAGGAAAACGATGGTGGAAACGTGAGTCAGAGTTGGGGAGAGTAGTTTGTTGTGTGGGAGTACACACACAAACATTTTCCTGCAGCAACTCACCTCTCACGAGATTTCAGTGAGAGAATTGTCCTTGAGTGACACTAAAATCAAAGGGTGTCACCGGGAGTCACTCATAGGGATCCTTTCCATGATGTTGTCAGACACCTGGTATAAAAGTCTGTCAGTGGCAAAAAGAAGCACTTTTTGTGGATGTAATTTCGATGGCCACTATTGCCCTGAAGGAATACGTTGCAGCCACTGCAGCCAGTTCCCAGCTGCCAGCTGAAACCATCTACTGCACTACTGGACCTTTAATGTTTGGTTCAGTCTCTAGGCTCTCATCAACTTCATCTCCAGCAGCAACGTGCAGCAGGATAATAAAAAACCTCTGATACTCTGATCTACTGCAACCAAACGGCCCAAAAAATCTATTATTACAGCTTCAAACTTTCAGATAAACTTTCAGATTACAATAAATGATTTTTTTGGGTCGACAAAACAAAACTGAAGGTACATGGTTTCCACAAAACAGCACATATATTCATCTATAATCAGTTAACTTGTCTAGTCCTCCCTGGAAGCACCTGAGGTCAACAACTACTCATAACATAAAATTTAATGATCCGAGTTTATTTCCAATTTCTAAAAAATGACAGAAATCCTGTCTGAGGATATTACCTAGGTGTGATGCTGAGTTCTGGGACGGCACTACCAAACAACAGACAGGCAAAGATTAGAGACTTCTTAACTGCAGCGGATGGAGAACACTTAAGTTTACAATCCATGATTGTCAACAAAGCAAACTAATAAATTCCTGCCAAAAGGCCCACAAAGGAAGCTAAAGCCACCTGCTCAACTATTTTACTGCTGTGAATGAGTGGAAACACCCCTCTTTTGCCTCTCAGCTTTCTCTGCCTCCCTTCTTCTGTTTCCATTAAGTCTCACAGACGGCTGTAATTCACTTTCACTAATGCCACTCTGCAGCGGCCAGTGAAGTACATAAAATTATGAAACACTTCCCAGCAACCTTATAGATCTCAACTAACACCTGCCAAAAAAAAAATAAAACTCCACAGTCGTCAGCGGCCTTATACCTCTGTGTTAAAGTTACAACCGGGGATGTAAAGTGAGGCCATTTAAACTCGGCCTACCAATCATTTTCATTTGCAAAAAGCTGTTTAATCACCTGTGCAGACTGATATGAATCCTTCATATATGAATAAATTGAGTTAGTTGGTGACCCTAAATTGTCCTTAGGTGTGAGCGTGAGCATGAGTAGTTGTTTGTCTATGTGTGGCCCTGCGATGGACTGGCGACCTGTCCAGGATGTACCCTATCTTTCGCCCGATGCCAGCTGGGATTGGCTCCAGCCCCCCGCGACCCTGTACGCAGGATAAGCGGTTGACAATGGATGGATGGATAATCCCATAATGATGGGACATTTAAATTGGGATTTTTACTAGAGAGAGAAGAAGAGAATAAATGTGTCTTTGCACAGGAGGAAGACACCCAGACTGCAGCTATATAGGACTTTTTTCAGTTTTTACATATCTTTGTGGTTGTTTGATTTACTTTTCAACAAGAAATGTTATGTCACATCATAAAATGCCTCACCTCTGGCCCCGCCCCTCCTTGGTGGGACTGCCTGACACTTTAATTAGGAAAATATCATCACTTAAATCAAGTAAGAAACAAGCTAAATTGTTACAGAAACATGTAGCTCGTTTTTGGTCCCTTACTTCACTCTATCAAAGTGGCTCTGTTTGGTTCCAACCTGATTTGTTATCCTACCATCTTCCCTGACATGATCTCAGACAGTGAAGAGGAGCGTGCAGTCGGAGGCCTTGGAGGAGTCTGAGTGCCAGCAGATAATGTAGTGAAGGCCAGACAGACAATCACTCTTGGAGGTTGAGCGAATGGTGAGAAAGTTGTGGCGCCAGGCAGGCATTAGTCTGGGAGGACATTAAGCCTCCTACTTCCAGACAAACAGCAACAATCTGATGAAAGGGAGAACAGTAAATATGATTGCTGTTAATATCGTACAGAGAGGTGATACCTTCTTCTCTCTCTGTTAATCGTCCACCTCAAGCTGACCCCTAAAATATCCACAAAGAATGGGAGGGACAAAATAGCAGGAACACCTTCTAGTCTAATCTAAATTTAAAAACTGCCTTGTCTTCTTGCGCCTTCGACTGTAATTTCTCTTCTGTATTTTTATTGTCTTTATAAAATTTAAACTTAATATTAAAAACTGCCGTCTGATGTGCAGTAAAGCGTGTTTTTGTTAATTTATATAAACTTAATCATCACTAAAATACAGTGATGACAGACATATATTTCCCTTAATGCAATTTAATTCTTAAACATTTAGCTGAAATTTCATTCCAGACACTTACTGCACACATCATGAGAGAGCAGGTAGAGACTTTAACTGTCTCGCTTGTGGAGAATTTGTTCTTGAAATGTGGCTGCTGATGCACTAATTGGCAGTCACTGTGATTAAACCTGCAGATAAAAGAGCTTCTCTAGGATAATTTGCAATCCCAGGATAAAATAAATAAATCTTGAGAATCCAGTATATCCTCTAAAAGGCTGTTACCTGTTTATAGATTCCGAATAACCTGGCTCACCAGCTGGGTTTTGTTTTGACAAATGCCCGCCGTTTGGGTAAATTGTGCCTACTGCACTTTCTACGGAGAATAAAATGCTTAATGCTTTATTAATTGGGCTTTTTTGGGGATTAATGGCAATTTTAATATCATTATATATATCATGTACAGTAAAGTAAAGCACTTGGTCAACCTTGGTTGTTTTGGAGTGTGCTACATTAATAAAATTGATATTGATATTGATTGAAAGAACGTAAAATGCACAATGGAGTTTATACACCAGGGCTGGTACACGACATGTCTAGCATTGCAGAGAAAGTATTCACTGCATTTTAAAAAAATCAGTGTGAGAGTGTGAAGGAAATAATAGTATTGGATTTTTGAAGATATTCAACATCAGTCATTTCTGCTTACAGGATGAATGAGAGGAAAGATGCCAGAGGGACAAAGGCACATGACCTGACATGCAAACATCATGCAGACTACTACTACTACCAGCCTTGTCTGGATTCTACTCCTTTATTTAATAAATACTGCATCGTTTTGTGATGCAGCATCATTTTGTGGTACAGCACAGCTGCAGAGAATAATGGCTCACAGAATCTCCAGCATGTGCCCTATTATCTGATGTCAGCTCCGTCCACGTGGTTCCCCTGGGGCTTCCTGAACACACACAGGCCCAGATTATAACCTATTTGTGGGGTCAGACGACGGCTTGGACCTCGTGCTCCACCTCTCACGGTGGACATCAGGCCCATCTCCCCAGAGGTAAGCAGATACCTCTGAATCAATTTGGCCAAAGACCCATAACGATCTCTGCCATAATTAATGGGGATGTTTGGAGTGTAGATACTCGGTCTGTCCAGCTGACGTCCAGAGAACACAGGAGTCTTTGCACTGCCATCGTTGTAGCAGGTCAGGACTCAGAGTATCTTTTAGTTATTGATATGTTTATTTTTACAGGGACATCAGCATTTCAATAAATGTAAATAAATAACTTTTATTGACTGGACTTCACTGTCCAGATTACCTGAAGAACCTGGAATAGATGAAAAATATTTAATAATAATAAGAAGTAAGAGTAAGTACTAATAGAATATTATTTGTTTTTCTAAACTAAATGTTTTCTTGCACATAGTTTAATACTATACTATACTATAAAACAATAAGCATCATAACACATCATTCATTCATGTTACTTTTAGAAATTTAAAGTCACAGTTACTAAATGCCTGCTATGGAAACAAATGTTAATGAAAATATTTATATGTCCTGAGCACCAATATGTAACCTGCTACTTATACGAAAAATATTGTTTCCTACAAAGCCGAACCCAGGCACAAAGACAGACTGGAAACACCCACAATTACCATGTAAAAGAAGGGGTGAAGTGTGAGTAGGGGGGTTAACCCATCATTAAGATTCTGTGTGTCCACTGCATGAGCTACATGCAAGCAAACAAAGAGCCAGCAGACACTGTGTAGATGGAGGTGGGCTGCAACAACCCCAGCTTCAGTCTGCCAGGCTCAGACAGAGGGGGAGGGGAACCCTCTATCAGAAGTAGCCAGAAGTCAGATCCAATTAGCCACCACAACATGATAGAGTGGAATCAAGCCAAAATGAAAGGGGACAAGATACAGCTTTCACTGTTGGTCCACCATTTAGCCATTTGGATATAAAAACTGATCTTCACCCTGTTTTCCAAGTTACAGCTGTCTTCCCTAATCCAAACAAAAACCATAACCAAAGAGGCATATCTGTTTAAAGGTTTATGCACTATTTACTAGATTTTTTTGGCCACTTGGGGGAAGCAGAACAAGCTTTTAATACTGATCTATTATCACCTTATAAAGTTGACTGGCAAAGGTGTTAGAAAATAGTTGCCTATACACAAGATGGAGCAATGTTAGCATTCTTTAGGAGTCCTGTTTCTGGCCACCTGATGAATGTAAATCCAATAATCTCTCTCTTTGTTGCACTAACTTAGCATTACCAACACCTGAGAAGCAATATTTCCTCAGCAGCTAAAGGCCTATAGTGCTCACAAACTTTCAATGACTAACCAAAAACATTGTCTGTCTCTTCTTTGGGGCTGGGCAGGTAGTGCAGTGGGAGAGCTATGAGTGTGAACCGAAACAGTAAACTTGTAAGCTGAAAAAACAGTTAGCTAGAAAATGCTAAGATACCTAGCCAAAACCTTTTTTTTAAATACAACAGTCCTACAATAAATGCTTTCTATATGAAGGTTGTGATGTTCAGTTTTCTTGAAATAATTTTAAAGTGGTGTTCAACAGTGTGATCATTTTGTGTAGTTTTTGTTTGTGGTGCTGTTGAACAGTTTTGCATTAAACAGAGGTGTTTCTGTTATTTAGCCTATCCTCAGTGATATAAATGAGGTGGACAAAACAATACACAAATTAATCAAACACCAGTATACAATAGAATTAAACAGCAGCACCCTTTACTGCATGATGTAACATCAGACTGCATTAGTTTTAGCTAGCTGTATAGCATATTTTCATTCGTAACAGCGTGTTTATTTTTCGTGTGTCCAACAAAACTTGCAAAGAACGATGTCAAGTCAGGCTGTTGTCTTTGTTAGAAAATCCCTACTTGGGAAATTGTGCAGCAGACAGATATTTTTTTCACGCAGACAGACAGAAGAGCCTTTCTGGATAAAACTGGAGATACCTTCAAAACAGCTTTAAGTGATGGTAAATCACCCTTTAAGTTTTCGAAAGATCGCCAAAGATTTCTTTTTCAGAATAACTGATAATACAGAAAAACATATGCTTGGCTCTGTGACTTGAATTTCATGATAATACATGAGATGCACAAACTGAGGCTACAGCATCTCATAGGCAGCAAAATACACAGCATTCTTCATCCACCGATGCTGCGGCCAGAGGGAGCATCAGAGATGTGAAGGGAGGAGGGTGGGTAGGGGAGGAGCTGAGAGAGGCAGGGGGAGAGAGGGGAAGAGAGGGGAAGAGGCGGACACACGGCGGCAGCAGGTTTGTGAGAGCAGCAGCCGGCCCGGAGGAGGAGGATCAAGAAGGAAGGAGGAAGAGGAATCGGAGCGAGAGAAACAGTGTGGCTGCAGTCAGGAGGGACACAAACAGAGAGGGAGACAGAGGAGGAGATACAGAGAGAAGAAGAGAAGGTGAGAATTGTATTTGTCTGTGCTGTGTTGTGTGAACGTGAGGTATGGGCGGGATGCTCTGCGATCCAGTGTGTGTTTTCCTTTTCTTCCTCTGTCTGCCAGCTGACGACATGCTGTATGTTGGGAGAGCAGATCGTCGTAGCACTGCAGAGTGATGCAGAGAGATGGAGGAGAGAGAGAGAGAGGGAGAGAGGGAGGGAGGGATGGAGGGCCGGCATTATGCTCTACAGACAGGAGGAAGTAAGAATAGAAGAAAAGAGGAGGTGGAAAAGGAGAGAAATTAACATCTGCCTATGCTTTGCTGTGTTGCAGTGAGGTGTTGGGTGTATGGGGATTGAGGAGGTTTAGCATTTGAATGACAGTGCACAAGCTGTACACTGTGTCATCTGTCAACATCTGTAGTTTCCCTCCATGTTGGAGATATAAGTTTCTGTCTGACCACACCCTCTGCTCGCTATGAGATGAGATTATGTGATGGGTGGGTTTGTGGTCGCATCGGTGTGAGGGTGTGAGTCTGGGAAATGTGTGTGTGAAAGGCATGTTGGATGCTGGCCAAACATGCTTGGTGTTGCCTCCCGTTACTGTCAGGGCAGTGGATTAGCTGTGTGTGAGCAGTGTTTATTCTCGAGACAGAGAGAGGTCAAGGCAACACGCTCGATCGTGTACTGACCAAGATGTTGTCAGTCAGATGTGTGTGTGGTTGTTTGTATAGAAAAATACCATCCACGTGTATGTGTGTGTTTATTTGCCTGTGTTGTGTCAGTACATGCAGAGCACATCTGAAAAATGCTGTAGTACACCAGGCTGCGGTGCTAAATACTCATCCAGCCTTCTGCTCTGGGCATTGCTCCATGGTTCAGATTCTTCAGTTTCAACGTTTTGTGATTGATACAGAAATTATATCCTCCAACATATTGTTAAAGAGCGTAGCTCAAAATGGGACTGTATGGTCCTGAAGGAGGGAAAGGAGCAGGGTTGTCCATCGTCATCTGGCAGTGATATAGTCTGGAAAGGCACCCTGTTTAGAACAGCTTGACAGAGCATTTGTTGTTTTAGTGTCTCCATGCCAAGGCATTTTCACAGCCTTGTGGACAATACATTTTCATTAAGAGCTGTTACGTTTGAGAGGGTGTTTCTAATGATCCCTATACCCTCGAAGGCTCCACGATAACCACTGCAGATGGCAGAAATTGTGTTGAACCTTCTTTAGACATACATAGAGAACTATAGCACATTGTAGCACTTAAACAATGGAGGAGTAAGTCTGTGATGTTGTTATAGAGCGACAACAAAACATTGGATTTTAAAACAAGAGAAGAGTTTCCCGTTTAAAATCGACAGAGATCGCTCCCTAACCTTAACCACGTTTATTACTGTAACCATGACTTTCGATGGTCCCTTAACTTTAGCGAGGTAATCATTTAAACCCAAAAGTGATCTCTTCCTAAACTTAATCAAGACCTAAACCGAAGCAAACCTTAACCATTGTGTTGTCAAGCATTACCTGATCTGATGTCCTTATGTGTCGCTCTAGAGGACGTGGACAAACAACATATTTTGTCGTTTAATATTGGAGGACTTGTTGGAACAATTGCAAGCATCACATCATGTTGACTCTGGTGTTCCTAAAAGAAACACAGTGTGAGAGGAATCACAAAAAGGTGTATCACAGGAAAGAGATGAATACACTCAGTAGTCGTCTGTGTTTCAACCTATAGGTGTGTGAGTGGATGCTCCTTTTTTTCTTCAAGAAGTTGTCAGGTTTGACAAAACTGGTAGATTGTCAGTGCCTTTTAAAAATGAGTCATGAGTGCCATTTTTGTGGTTAAGGTTATGCAACTTAAACGTCTGTGTTAAGGTTGGGATCACTTTCTAACAGCAACTGTACCCTACAGTTAGTAGAACTCCAACCTCTTCTTCGCTTATACATCTCAATCTCCTTCCTAAAAGGTGTTGTGTAGCAATATCACGCTACAGTACTCCTGAGATTTGTCATCTCAGTGAATGAACAATTTTTCTGGTACAGAAATCAGTTTATTTGCATGACTACAAGAGTTTGCTTTTCTGGAAAATGTAAACTCAGATCAGTTTAAGTGGTTGAATACATAAACAATTCTGTTTGTGGTGAGGTCAGTCTCAAGCCTTTTTTATGTATGTGCATATAAAACACTTAGTATGTCCTGTCACACATTTTCACAAAAAATTAAATATAAAATGAAACAGGTAGCAGAACCAACTATGGCTGAAACGATAGGTCAATCGATGACACCAAGGGATCCCAAACTTCTTGTCTCTCTCACAGCCCTGTCAGATGAACTCATGAACCCCTTTATTGACACCCCCTGTCACCCACATGTGTTTATTTGAACTGATTTTAAATTGGTTGTTATTCAACTCTGTTAGACATAAAAATGTATTGTTACAAGAATGTTTACATATAGTAAAACTGTCAATGTTAAGGTTGGTTTGGTCAAGTTTGCATTCATTCTCCTTCAACTTGAAGTGGTGGAAGCCATCATCCATCCATCCATCCATTGTCAACCGCTTATCCTGCGTACAGGGTCGCGGGAGAAGCCATCATTTGTACAATATTTATTAATCTATTTGAACCGATTAGCCATTCATTTTAGCTGTCTATTTAAATAATTTCTTTATTACTTTGGGCTGATAGTTTGTACTCCTTTGCATGCTTGCTTGCTTACTAACTAGTTTTCATGCACTCTCAACACATTGTGTTAAACCTGACTCGATATATGGATATATTTTTTAATCAACACGTAATTTAAAAAAAAAGATTTTATTAATTGAGCTACTCCACAATATTTCCACATATTCCTGTCAACTGCAGAAGTTGCCCCTGGGGTCCCTGTGGTTGGGAATGATTCAATTAACTCAACTGACAGAAATGAATTAGCAACTCTTTTGGTAATCACTTAATAACTTCTAGATCAAGTAAAAATTTCATACTATACATACTCAGATTGTTCAATGTAAGGGTTTGCTACTTCTCTCTGGTTCATATAATTAAATTGAAGATATTTGAAGTTAGACCGTTAGTCAGACAAAAGATATTTTAACCTTGAGCTCTGGTAAATTTTGATCTAGTTTTCTGACATTGTATATAAGATTAGTCGAGTAATTGCAAAAATAATCAACACATTAATCGATGATGCAAGGAATTCTTAATTTGCAGTCCTAGAACCAGCAGTGTTCTTTGAGGAACAAGGACCTACAGCTACACCACCACACTAGTAGGTTTTATAACCCTGCTCATTTTCAGTCTAGCAGTGGCTGCTGTGTAAGAAGCTCTTACAGCTGAAGTCCTATTGGATGAGGCATAAACTGTGGCATCAAATCTCCCTGGGAGACTAGAAGAAACTCTTGGCAGTGTGCTGATTGCAAAGAGGGCCAACCGCTGCCCTGCTGAACCTGCTTACGTCACACCACCTCTGGGGGTCGTGACTGAAAACAGGAGAATAAAGCGTGTCTGCACCAGCTTGCGTGAGAGTGACAAAGTAAAAGATGAATCAGGAACAAAAGACTGTGAATAGAAATGTGCTTGGGGGTTAGATGAAGCCAGAGGGGCACAGAGACATGATGTCTGAGTATGTTGGTTGTGTGTTCATGTAAGTTAAGTACTTTGAGTGCATATGTGAGTCCAAACTACTTATCTGTGAATGAGTATTAAGTGTGGATGAACAATACTGAGAATTACATCCAGTGTCATTTTGGTTTATAAATCTCCTATTTAACACAGGATCATGTTATTAACGCAGTAACAGCGGTAGTAGAGGCTGATCTGTCTGTATTTTAGCTAAATGTGTCTAGATGAACAGTGCATGACGAAGGCTGTTATCTGATGAGCTGACATGTGAGCTTTTGCTGTGACCTCACTGGGTCTCTATCATGTCTGTGTGATCTCCAGCTAAGCTCTTAACTAGATTTGAACGGAAAATGTAATTTTCATAGGGACAAAATGCAAAAAGTGTGATGTCTGAGTCTATTTCTGGATCAGCAATGTTTGGTTATTTGAGGTAGTGTAGTAATGTTTTTCAGTGATGTGAGATCACAGGAATGTGGTGCTTTCTGAAGGCTACAAGAACTTGGACTGATTCCTGCAGGTTTTCTGAAAGCCGTTAAGCTATAAGTGTACAGTAGGGCTGTTGTGGCTGTGGTACTAGTTTGCCAGCAAACTGTAATTTGTACCTAAACTATTGTTAGCAGTAGGTCTGTGTGAGCTGTTGGTAGTCAAGCATACAGAGACCAAACTAAAACAGTGAGCTGAAAGCTGACTGTGGCGTTGATTCACAGTGGGACGAGTATTTTAAGTATTTTACGAGCAATTTAATTCAAGCTGTTAACTAAAAAACTGCTAATGGATCAGATTGATTTAATTGTAATACTTGTATTACTTTGCAGTAAGAGATGTGATTAGCCCAGCCCAGTATAGAAATGACAGTTAAATAAACACCCACCCCAACAGTGCGTCAGCCCACCCGGCAGTTGCCCTGTATGCGAGATTATCAGTCAACCCCTGGCTGTGTTGTACCATCCAAGTGTATATAACCGAAGTATTGACATTTTAATCATTTAAAGACTCAACACACTCAATGTTTTCAATAGCCAAATTGATATGATGCCTCTCTCTGATGACCTCACCCTGTCAAAGTAAGAGCAGCTCAGCAGATGATGTCATTCTCCGGACTGTTAGTGACTGAACTGCTGCAAAGGGAGATGTAATGAACCACACACTTTTCATTGTTTAATAGCAGCAATTTCTAAACAAATCCATTTCCAGTTTAATTATTCAGAAAAACAAAATGTGGCTGCTGTTTTGAACTGATCTTACATTAATGAACTTGTGTTTTTTCTCCTCAATGGCGTTTGTTTTCTTCAAGCTGAATTTTGACAGTTTTGGTTGAGGAAATACCAAAGGAGTTGATGAAGTAAAGAATGATGACATTGATGAAGTTAAATATAGTGAGGATTTAAGGAGAAAATCCTGATTGACACACTTGAGAATAAAGAGACTGTATCTTGTGTGTTGATCTCACTGATTCTCCTGACAGCACAAAACACAAAGTGATGCCTCCCTCTTTTTCCTCCTCTCATTCATCTTCTCCTCATCCCTCTTTCTGGCTCTGTAACATCCTTTCTGTGCATTATTCATGAGCTCATTGCTGTCTGTCTCTGCTGATGTTAATCATATTCTGATTATGTACCATCAAAGCACAAGGATATGTTTAGAAATACTTTAGGAGGGGTGAGAATAGCAATCTTGCAATATAGAAACATAAAAGTAAAATTTAGGCTGACATACTGAAGCTTTTTTTCATGAACAAGCCTCCAGAGATAAAATAAGCGCTCTGTAGCTGATCAATACTGTATGCGTGTTACAGATTCTTGCGGATTTTCTTTGAAAAAGTAACATAACTCATTGAAGGAAAACCTGGAGACAACAAAACTTTCAACAGAAAAGTTTTATTTTACAAAAAATTGTTTTATTTTAAATTGCTTTTAAGTTGAGGGTTTAGCTGCAGTTTGTTCACGTTGCCCCCCCACTGTCCTCATTCAACAACTCTTCACTTGCTGCACCACATATCTATGGTGATGTTTTTAGGGTAGGGTCTCTAAAAATATAATCCTGCACTAGTAACATAATTAACCACAAACTTTTTTTGCCACTTCAAAAAATTTCACACACAAGGGGTCAGTGTATATTAGATAGACAATATAGAATATGTGAATGGATAATATTTATATGACTAAGTTTACAACTGTGGTAGCAGCTTTGTGATTCACATTGTCAATGTGAATATGCTGATGTTTTGTAGGTATAATGCACCCACTTAGTTGGGTTTAGTTTGTTGCTAATCAGCACTGAACAAAGTGCAGCTGAGGCTGATGGGAATGTTTAGTTAGTTTTGCAGGTATTTGGTCATAAACCAAAGCATTAGGCAAAGTGAAAATTTGACTGGTTCTAGCTGAGAAGTCAGGAGATTATCAAAGTTATAACAATTGATCCTGATGGGAACATATATTGTACATTACCCATCAATCCCATCAAAAGTTGAGATATTTAAATCTTGCCCCAAGACATTACAATTGAGCCACTACTGCTACTATGACTAAGAGAAGAACGGGAAGCTTAAAATCATTACAGTAGTGTATAGATTTTATTATATTAAATGTATTTTATTTCATAAAAGCTAATGTTTTATGTTTGAAAATTTTACAGACAGAAGATGTTGAAAGATTTAATACTTGAAAATTATTGGCAAATGTTTCTTTATGGCTCTTCTGTCTTACAACAGTATGACACAAAGACGTGTAGACATTGGACTTGTATTTGTATCAGAGTGAACAGGCTTAGGATGATGGAGGTATATTATTGCCTCCATATATAAAGGAACTCCTGCATTCCTCCCACTCATCTGGGAAATTTCCTGTTGGGTTAATCTGACACTCTGTTCATCCTCCCTACCCTCCTCATCTGACTCCTCTACTTCTGGCTGCTGTTGCTCACCTGTCCCCTAGCTGCCACTGCAGAGTCAGCTTCTACTTTATACCACCTGACCAAACCATGTGCCCGCACAGCTGCCTCACATTAGCTCCACTCTACAATAAACTGGATATTCTTTGTCAGTTGCTTCCAGCTTTGTTCCTGTCCTGGCTGTCTGTCTGCTTTAGCCTTTGGATTTGTACCTGATTTGACTGTAAGCCTGCCTCTTTACCCAGTAAAACTGTTTCAAACCCACTGCTACACACCTGTTTCTTCAGTCTGCACATTAGCCCAAAGTAATACTGAACTGTTAGCATGCTATTGAAATAGTTCAGATTTTTGTCTCCTGGTTTCAGATACTGAAAATGTAATCTTTATTGTGACTGTGTTTCTGAAAGGCTTGTCTGTTGTGTTAGCCTCATTGTCTCTTTCTCCATCAACCAGTCAGTGTTTCTAAATTGATTTATTTGTCATAATTACTCAAAATCTGTCCAAATGTTATAAATTAAGAAAGCACTAAAAATCAACCACACATGGAATCCCTACTCAAGACCATGTAAAAACAATTACTGATATCAACTCTACAGTCTCTGTGCAAGGTAACACACCACAAAAAGATGCATCATCATGGCAGGCGTCCATAAAGTGATGGACAGGGTAACATGAACAGCGCTCTACTGAATACATCTCATATAAAGCTTATGTTTATTTTACACATACAAAGCAGGAAAGCACATCACTGCCAAACAGGTTAAGCTATTTGGCCTCTGCCTCTTTTCTAAACAGTCTAAACACACTTTCTGTCAGTGTTTCACTACAGTAAATATGTCTATGGTGTATGATTATATTGCACAGTATGTAGATGTAATATAATATATTTACCTACTTATTAATTCCATATTTCTAGGCAGAACAAAAAAGACACCCTGAGTGGAAAATCACACACTGTCTGACATCCCCATCCAAAATGTATTCAACATTTTTATAAATCAAAACTGTTCTGGCAAATAACTTATAACTTAATATATCTAAATGTTAATACTCCTTATTGCAGCTTTGTTGTGTTGTTTTGGCTTCGTGGTGCTGCTTTCCTGCTGTTTTGTCATCGGCTCATGGCGTCATATTGGGGATTTTGTGGTTTGTGTTATTGACGCATGTTTCCAAAGGGAGGATGTATGGAGACTATTGAGTGGAGTGACATGGATATTGATCAGTAGGGGCTGCAATAATCCAGCAGTCTGTGCAGTACTCTATCTTGGAGTCATGCACAGATCTCTCAGCATATGAATATAGATATAACGAAAGTGATCAAGCGCATATAATGCAAAATAATCTCTTAACATGTCATTTAGCCCATTATGGAGGCCTAAAATGATTTTAGTCTGTCGGTCCACCACTTCGGTTCAGACTAAAATAGCACCAGCAACTATTGGATGGATTGCCATGAAATTTGATACAGACATTCATAGTGCGTAATGGATGAATCCTACCGACTTTGATGATCACCTGACCTTTCCTCCAGAGTTAATATAACATCAAATTCACAAATTCCTAGTTATTATGTCCCTCCGGCAGAAAGAGGAAGTAAACTTTTACACGTAGCTTTATTTAGTAGAGCAGAGAGAACAAACTTACAACACAAGAAATACTATACTGTGCATGTTAGATGGCATACATCCTACAGGTTAATGAGCTGTCAGTTAAATGGAAGTCCTTAAAGTTGTATGACCACTTTCTAGTTATTTCATACAGGTTTGTGCTCTCTAACATGCCGGCACTAAACCCACAAACTCACGCAACCTGGTGAGAGTCAGTGGGGTTAATAGAACCAGCAGTTACGGTTTATCTTACTAGTACGGCTCAATAATGCAAGCAGGCCCTTCACATTTACTGAGCCTACAAGGAGATGATGTATGGCTATAATTACTGCAATATGGGTCTCCAGATGCCTTTACATCAGTGGTACACACTCTCATAAACACAAAAACACCATTATCCTTCTTTTTTTGCTTTTTGTGAGAAGGGGATTTTTTTTTTTAAATCCTCCCAGACAGTGTCTTAAATCTCTCAGAAACTCAATTTAACAGCATCTGTATAATTTTTCTTTCTCCTCCTCCCAGATCTCCCCGCCCCCCTCACCTCACTGGCCCATGAAAGAAGCCATGCCGGTCCTCACAGCAGGAGCGGGTGAGATGAGTTGGCACAGATGCTCAACACATACTCTCCATACTCTGTGTAGCTTGCTGTGCTCCATCTGTTCATGTTAATATACACGATGGATTTTCTAATTCCTCTCCTCTGCAGGGCTACATGAAACGTTGGCCCTGCTGACCTCTCAGCTGCGTCCCGATGCGAATCACAAAGAGGACATGGTCTTCCTCAAAGATGTTTTCAGTGAGAGGAGCTTGGGATACCTCATGAAGGTGAGGTTATTACTTCTTCTGAGTCAGATTCTATGAGTAACATCATTATTTACATACAGATGTGATATACAGCTGTGTACCATTACATTTTTTATGCAGTTTTAGAATATATTAACAAAAAAATAGCAGGAATGGATTTGATAGTCTTGAAAATGTACATTATTTTTTCTAATAAACTGGCCTGTTGGTCAGGTTACCTGAAAGTGACGGGACAACTCAGGTCATTCCTCATCTGTTGTCACTGCCTTCCAAAAACTCTGACTTTTTGGTTACATTTAGGCAACTGAAACTACTTGTTTATTGTTCATACAATATATTAGACATATTGTTCATTGTTCGTACTGTTGGTAGGCAACAGAACGCAAACAGCAGTATCCCCGACCCAACCGTCCATCCACAACAACCCCGTCATTTTGTTGTGCTCTCTCAGTACCACACTGCGTCCATCTTCGCCTCTGAGAAAACACACTCATTATTTGCCAGGAAATTGTAAACATAAGTCATCCAAGTGGACCAATGGAAAGTTGTTGTGGAAGACCGCCTACATGTGTGATATTTGTCAACTACACATGGAATCCAAGATACTGTAAGAAGAGCAACTTTGTGGTAATACAAGTAGTATGGCTTCCACATTCACAATGTTTAAAAATAAAACATTTTACTAAAAATATATAGCTGATGGGTTTATTTTAATGTCACAAGAAGCCATATATTCATCCACTTTGGATGGAAATTTAGACTATTTATTTAGATAATTTGATTACCTCTGTACGTTTGTGTCTTTTTTGTTTATTTGGCTTTTTGACAATTAGCCAAATATCTCATAAACAGAAGATTTCAGTTATATTGGTAGAAGGTTAGTCAAGGGACCATGGAATACTTTGGTTATCACTGCAGATCATGATGTCTGTGCTGATCTTGAAATTTTTGAAAGGATTACTTAGATTTGATAACATTTTCCGTATTTTCTCACAGCACTTATTTTAGAAAAGTGAAATGGGGCACATGTAGCCCATGACTTTCTTTACTCTGTGTATATTATGCAGTGAAAATTTCAAAACATTACAGCAACAAATTTCAAGGATTGTGCAGTCTTGCTGCATTACCTGCTTTTTATTCTTTCTATACACGAAAAACACAGTACTTTTTAGGCATGCGTACAGAATCATTTCAGATTTCTTAACCAAACTCTCTTTTCTCTAGTAAAGCCAGGAAGCAGTTTTTTTACAAGTGGGTTTATTTGTTTTGTACATGCATGCATGTGTTCACAAGGGTGACACAATACATATTTCTACCAATGGTTTCATACTATTTCGCTGACTATAGATGGTGGTAATGCATCAAGAAACATAGCTATGCACCCACAAAGGCAGGGATAAAGAAGACTAGAAGCTAGTAAACATGGATGCAAACAATGCAGGATTTACCTTTTTTTATTTTAAAAGTTGGCTTTGTGAATGTTGTAAGCAGTGGAAATGCATTCATTAGTTAGAACTCAAGGACTGACATGATGCATTTGGTAAGTAACACTGAATGTCAACATAACATTGGTTTGTTTACAAGAAACTTCTGCAGGCACCTTTTAATCTTCAGCTTTTTTCTGAAACTGTGCATTCCTTGATGAAACCCTCTCTAATAAACTACACGTGTTTGTGTTACAGATTCATGAGAAGTTAAGACAGTATGAGAGACAGAGTCCAACACCCGTCCTCCACAGTGCCTCTTCTCTGGCAGAAGATGTAAGTTCATCTCTCTCTCTCTCTCTCTCTTTCTCTCACACTTACACACACACACATCCTAAATTACTTTTCCACTTGGGCACAGCCGTCAGTCACAATGAGCTAGCACTGACAGAGAAGCAATGCAGGTATCAAAAATGAATTTTAATGTTCTCAAAGTGCTGAATCATCCCGATGTTCATCTAATGAAACTCTATATCCTGCTGCTCTCCTCTCGCTCTCACCAGTTATCAGTGTGGGAAACTGCTGACCTTAGCTGTTCACAACTTATCTTCCATTGTGTGCACGTCTGTGTATCTGTGTGCATTTATTCTACGGTAAACTGCATCGTGCATTACTGGTATACACCTGCACAGGGTCAAACCAGGTCAGGGCTCTCGCTTCATGTAGGTTTTGTGATCGGCAGGTGGCAGAGGAGCTGCAGAGTGGACCAATGAGCACAGAGGAGAAGGAGCTGCTGCACCTGCTGACATCACCACATCTCAAGGTAAACACACAGTCCTACAATCATGAGGAGATGTAGCGTTAGTGTACATTCATGGTGCCATTTTTACCTGTCAGACATGTTATTTGCCCTGACATTCATCTCTGAAGCTTCTTATAGATTCTGGTAGACATCTGCTCTCTGTGCAGCTCAACGTCAGCATTGTAGTCTCAGCACATCGGTTTTCTGTCCCTCCAGGCCGTTCTCTCGGTGCACGACACCGTGGCTCAGAAGAACTTTGACCCTGTGCTTCCGCCACTACCAGACGACTTTGAGGATGAGCTGGAGGAAGAGTCGGTGAAGATTGTCAGGCTGGTGAAGAACAAGGAGCCTCTGGTGAGCTGTGAAGCATGAGAGCGGAGAAGAGACCTTAAGAGTCCGCAGGAGAACATGGACAGAGACCTTTTGCTCTTTTCTGTTAATGATCATATTCCTATGTCTGTACTCCAGGGAGCCACCATCAGGCGGGATGATGCCACTGGGACGGTGATCGTGGCTCGGATCATGAGAGGGGGCGCAGCTGACAGAAGTGGTAAACTGTACTCTTTTCGTCACTGAGTTTTCTACAAGTCTTGTCACTCTACTAGACTCCCAGTACCTGTAGTTCTCAACTGTGCTGGAACACAGACACAAATTAATTTAAAAGGTTGCGTGATGAATAAGAAATAAGCACATTTTTTATTTTTGTTTTTGGACTTTTATTGAACCTTTTTTTCTTTTGAAAAAAAACATTTATGCCCCCAGAGCTCTAAAATGATTAAAATAAAAGTCTGAGCAGAGAAAATCACCGAACTGCTCACAATCTGGTCAGCAGCCATGGTTTTAGAGTCCAAATTCCCTCTTTGTGAGCCCATCTCTCTATATTGTCATGCTCTCCACACTGCTATACAATCCTGGTGGAGAATATATAAAAACCCCTTTTACGTAATTTCCCCCTAAAACCAGTCAATTAAATGAGTTAGCTGTAATAGATGTATAAGAAAAAAAAAATGGCATGTGTATTTTGTGTGGAGCTGTAGAATGTAAACTCATTCTTAGTTTATTAAAACCCTCACATTCCCCAAAATAATACAGAGAAAATGGTTTTGGTGAGCTTACTCATAGCCATGCTCACAACTATAGACACACACCCTATGATGAGGTGACACAAGCTATGTATTAAGGGGTCGTGAGGTGAAAAGGTTGGGAACCACTGACCCATAAAGATGTGCTCATCTGTTTATTTAAACTCTTCCACATGTTCAAACTTTTACCAAATTAAATGGGAACTGCTACTGTTAAAGTTTTTGGACATTTATACAATGGCTTAATAGTTAAAGAAATGGGAAAAGGGACGCGAGGATGACATGCAGAAACAGAAAAGTTTCCCTCATGGAAGACTGGAGTAATGCAGGAAGCTGAGCTACCTGGACGCCCCAGGGGGCTCCCGATTTCCACAGCAGCGTGATAGCAATTGTCTTCTTAAAACCAGTTAGTTTTAGTAAAAAAAAAAAAGGATATAAGTACTCAAATGACAGTGATATCAAAACCACAATGAGAGAGAGATACAGCAGCAGCAGGAGATGCATGAGAGAAACCAGGAGTCCTCAGAGAATCATTCACACATCATATAGACTCAGTAAAATCCTTTCATTGGCGTTGCCATGGAAATTTCAGATCACATCTGTAGATGTGTGTGTGTTATTTGGCATTAGAAACATGCGTGCTTGGAAAGTAAACCAATCAGTGTCCGTATGCATTAATCTTTGATGTCTTCTTCCGTTTCCTGCTGTGTCTCATCAGTGTGAAGACAGACGCTGTGGAGAGATTTCAGAATTAGCCTCAGGTCTCTTTGTGTGTCTGGTAAATACATACATTATACATGTATGATTGCACAGTAGTGGATCTGCTATGTGTTTCTCTGTCCTGAGGGAAGAGTGTATTGATTCAACTTCTCTCAGTCTTTGGTTTCTTTGTTGTGGCTGCAGCTAAATAGATCCCAGCTGAGGATAGAAGCTGTAAGGATCTGTGGATCTGACAACGATACTGATGTTAAGATATGACTGATAAGGCTCAGTGAGGACTCTTGTAAATGTCATTGATGTTTTTGCCTCTCCTCCTCACAGGTTTGGTCCATGTAGGAGATGAACTCAGGGAGGTAAACGGAGTCTCTGTGATCAACAAGAGGCCTGACGAGATCAGTCAGCTGCTGGTGAGACAGTTCTGCTGTAATTTCATTGTGTAGCTTTTAAGAAATGCTGGAATAGATCAGTAATTTAGAATTGGAATAAATATAAGACTGGGTACAAACATGGATTTCCTGACTTTCCTGATTTTCAGTTGAATGATACCATTTAAATTGTTAAAATCCCAAGATCAGTCTTTCCCTCTGTACAAAAAGGTGTAGACCGTATTATGTTAAATTGTCATAATTCGTTTTTTTCTTCTTTGATTTGTTTGTTTGTTATTTATGCAATGTTTTTTTTTTTTTTCTTTCTTTACAGGCAAACAATCTAAATGCCTGTAAAAAGTCCAAACACACTGATCACAGTCAAAAGCTTTGAGGCTGGAAGTCAAAGGCCAATTGTTTCACTAAATACTTTAGATCAACAGTTAAAAATAACAATGTTGGATAAGCGAAAAAATCAAGTCAGTGATCATCATAAGGCAATCAACCAATATGACCAAAATAAATTAAATATTCAGAGAAGCATTCATTTGTGTTTTTTCACCCTATAAAAATTTACAGTAAGTTATATAGTATTTTGCTGCACAGGTGTAAACTCACATATATCAGTTAAATCTGTTGATTTAATTGCGCATGTGCAGAATACATGTTTTTTCTTTAGAATAATCACTGAAAATGCTGTGCCCATGTTTTGTTTATTTATACACAGACTTCCTTGTATTTGCCCCAGACAGATGCAATGGTAAATGGATAGTGGTGGGTAAACTATAAACTCAAGAGAGTAACCCCCATTTATTATGACAGTAATGAATCCTCACCTAAAATGTTATGGCCACCTTTTATTTTTTTCATAAACAGTGTGCACTAATAGTTCAGTTTAAATCAAATACAGCTCAGTGTGCCTTTTACAGCTAAGTATGTTTAGTCTTTGTCTTTAATTTGAGCCTGCAGTGACAATCTCCTCTTCTCCACTTCTACTGTCTATTTGCGATCTAGTCCCAGTCCCAGGGCTCCATCACTCTAAAGATAATCCCTGCCATTAAAGAAGAGGACCGCCTGAAGGAGAGCAAGGTGAGATGTAACATGAGTGACTGAGCATGCTCAGTGAAACTGCAGCTGAGAGGTAACACTCAAAGTCTGAAGCATTATTGTTGTGACATTTCAGATTAATGATTTCTTTAAAGATGCTGAGGCTCTTTCTCACCTATTCAACCTGTCGTTTGACTGTGCAGAAGTTCCCAGTGCTTGGAAGGCAGCGGTAGTGAGTCCTTTATTTAAGGGGGGAGATCAAGCTGTTACAGGCCAATTTCTATTCTACCCAGTATCTCAAAGGGGCTAGAAAAACATGTCAATAAGCAACTGACTGACTTTCTTCATGATCATAGTTTAACTTCTTGTATGCAATCTGTTTTTTTTCGTACTGGCTTTAGTTGTACCACTGCAACCCTGGAGGTCTGAATGATATTACAAATTCACTTGACAAGAAGCAATGTTGTGCCGCTATTTTTATTGAGCTGGCAAAAGCTTTTGACACAGTAGACCATTCCATCCTAGTAAACCGACTTAGGAGCATTGGTGTCTCTGAGCATTAAGTGCTGTGGTTTGCCAATTACCACACTGAGTCCAAAGTGTAAGGTCAGAACATCTGCTGTCTAAGCCCCTTACTGTCACCAAGGGAGTACCACAAGGCTCAATTTAAGGCCCAACAGTTTTTTCAATATATATTAATGACACACACTTCGCAGTTTATGCTGTGTGACCATAAACTTCAATTACCACAGTCACAGAAAACTAGTTTTGCTGGATATTATGTACATGTTAAACATGAATAGCTAACCTTAGCCTAGCTAGTCATATCTGAGCGCACAAATGCACTGCCAGTCAAGCTTCATGCCAAGATGGCTAGCTAACTGTTATACATGTCATTCTAAAGAAGGAGACAGCGACAAACTCCGTGACCTTGACAAAGGTAGATAAAAATAATCATTAAAGCATACCATACTACATTTAAAAGCATTTCTATTGAAATGAGCGACATAACATCAACTTACCCCCATCTAGCCTGTACACGTAACAGCTCCGTTTCCTGTAGAGTTAAGTGCTGGTCGGAGCCATCAGAGCAAGGGGATTGTGGGCATGGCCATGCAGTCAGTGCAAACCCATAATTGGTCCGTGAAACCCACCAATAGAATCTCTTATTTCAACCATTTTTGACTCGCAAAACTCTCTCTCCTGCAAAATGGTTTAACCTGCAAAACTTTGTCTCACAGGGAAAACCATTTGACATGCAAAGCTGTTTAACTTGCAAAACTTTCTGACTCGCAAGGAAAACTTTTCGACTTGCCATCAAAGAGGAGAAATTAGCAATTAAAACTTTTTGACACAAAAAAGACGTGTTTGTTTTTAATTATAAAAATGATTTTTGATTGCAGTGCGATAAATATGCTCTAAAAAATTTTTTGCTTGCATTAAAATTAAATACCTTCATAGTCATCTCTGCCACTTTTAAAGGCAAAATCACCAACTCGTTTACAGAAACCTGTAATTGCTTCATGTGATATTTGCTGTTATATGTTGCTCAGCTGCTATCTTGATTGTTTTCATTATTCAACTATTGTGCCATTTGTTGTCTATTCTCTGTAGATTACCTTATGTCTAGTCTGTTATCATGTTTTTTTATCTGTCTTTAATTATTTTCTCATCTGGTGTCTTTGTGCCTGGTTTTTAAGGTTTGTTGTTGGGACTGTGTTGTTGTCCTGCGTCCTCTTTCTATTGTTTGTTATTTTATTTACCCTTTTCCAACAGGATGCCTTTGTCTCCTGCCAGGCTGTTATTGTAAATAAGAAATTCTTCTTAATTAACTTGCCTGGTAAAATAAAGGTATAGTAAATAATAATAAAAGTAAGCCACTGATTTAAAATAATACGTTTCCGATCATGATTAGGTCCCTACAACTATTCAGATAAACAGCTTTGTCCGTGTTTTCCTACAATAATAATTATCTAAATTTGGTGCTTTTTGTTTTTGATTTCAGGTGCACATGAGAGCCTTGTTTGACTACATCCCACTAGAAGACAAGGCAACGCCTTGCCAAGAAGCGGGACTTCCCTTTAAACGGGGAGACATCCTGCAGGTTGTGACCCAAGATGATCCAACGTGGTGGCAGGCCAAGCGTGTGGGAGACAGCAACCTGCGGGCCGGACTCATCCCCTCCAAACAGTTCCAGGAGAGGTGAGAGCGCCCATGAGGAAACGGGTGTCACATCATGTATCTGCACACTAAAACTGAACAACCTGTGGTGTAAACAAATCAGTGCCAGGACTGTGAAGTTCACCCACACAGTGCTGGTAGTTTATTTTATGCAGCCATTTGTAATCTGTTAAACCTACATTCATGTGTTCCACTTTGAGGGTTCACTATGATTAGATGAAGCATCAAAACAGTTTGGAAAAAAATTAATCGAAACACAGCCTTGAATGCATGCAGATACTGTTGGTGTCATAATCCTTCAGTAAGATGATCTCAGCAGGCCGGGAGATCCCTGCCAAACACTGCAGCATCTGTTGGATTAATAACCACAGCTTAAACACAGAGAAAGACACAGGTCAGAGGGGTCTGCAAGCTCTGAAAAGCCTTAATGCTGTGTTTGGTAGGTTAAATAAATGTTTCGGATGAAATAACACATTTCTGCTGATGCCGTGGGTTCCTGCTGCACTCAGAGCTAACAATCAGTCTGACTAGCAGCATTGTTAGAAAGTCAATGAATTGACTACAAAGAGATGCAAAATGACGAGAGAACAACAATAGAAAGATGCGAAAATACCATGAGGAGACACAAAATTCCCAGAAAGAGACACAAAACCAGTGCAAAAAACCCCACAAAATAAGCACAAAAACGAAAAGAAAGGAACCTCCAAGAGAAACAAAAGGATGATAAAGAGACATAACAACCACAAAGAGAGACAAAAAGACTACAAAGAGAGACACAACGACCACAATGAGAGACAAAACGACCACAAAGAGAAAAAACAACCACAAAGAGAGACACAACAACTACAAAAAGAGACATAACTGCCACAAAGAGACACAAAACGACCACAAAGAGAGAGACACAAAACGACTACAAAGAGAGACAACAGCCAAAAAGAGAGACAAAACGACCACCAAGAGAGAGACAACGGACACAAAGAGAGACAAAACGACCACAAAGAGAGAGACAACGGACACAGAGACAAAACGACCACAAAGAGAGAGACAACGGACACAAAGAGAGACAAAATAACCACAAAGAGACAAAACGACCACAAAGAGAGACACAACAACTACAAAAAGAGACATAACGACCACAAAGAGAGACACAACGACCACAAAGAGAGACACAACGACCACAAAGAGAGAGACAACGGACACAAAGAGAGACACAGCGACCACAAAGAAACACAAAACGACCACAAAGAGAGAGACAACGGACACAAAGAGAGACACAACGACCACAAAGAGAGACAAAACGACCACAAAGAGAGACACAACGACCACAAAGAGAGACACAACGACCACAAAGAGAGAGACAACGGACACAAAGAGAGACACAACGACCACAAAGAAACACAAAACGACCACAAAGAGAGAGACAACGACCACAAAGAGAGACACAACGACCACAAAGAGAGACACAACGACCACAAAGAGAGACACAACGACCACAAAGAGAGACACAACGGACACAAAGAGAGAGACAACGGACACAAAGAGAGACAAAACAACCACAAAGAGACAAAACGACCACAAAGAGAGAGACACAGCGACCACAAAGAGACACAAAACGACCACAAAGAGAGACACAACGACCACAAAGAGAGACAAAACGACCACAAAGAGAGACACAACGACCACAAAGAGAGACACAACGACCACAAAGAGAGACACAACGACCACAAAGAGAGAGACAACGGACGCAAAGAGAGACACAACAACTACAAAAAGAGACATAACTGCCACAAAGAGACACAAAACGACCACAAAGAGAGAGACACAAAAAACGACCACAAAGAGAAAGACCGACCACAAAGAGAAACACAACGACCACAAAGAGAGAGACAACAGCCACAAACAGGCAAAACAACCACAAAGAGAGAGACAACGGACACAAAGAGAGACAAAATGACCACAAAGAGGCAAAATGACCACAAAGAAAGAGACAAAACCACCACAAAGAGACAAAACAACCACAAAGAGAGACACAACAACTACAAAACGAGACATAACTGCCACAACGAGACACAAAACGACCACAAAGAGAGAGACACAACGACCACAAAGAGAGACACAACGACCACAAAGAGAGAGACAACGACCACAAAGAGAGAGACACAAAACGACCACAAAGAGAACCAACATGACCACATTTAGAGACACAACGACCACAAAGACATCAAACGACACAACAACCACAGAGAGATTCCATTGTCTGTAGTTGCTTTGTGTTTTTGGGTGTCTTGCTCTTATATAAGAGGTGGGGGTAGGGGCTTTTTATATGTTTGTGCCCTGAGGCCCACTGTCTCATCAGTTCATAAGTGTTGTTTGCTCCTCTGTCTTTCATGTTTAAATCTTTTACTACTCCTCTCTGACATTCCCTCCTCACCTTTCGCTTATTGTGTTTTTCTGACCTGATGATTCTCTTCCTGCCTCCATCCTCTTTGGCTTTTTGTTCTGCGGCACATTCCTCCAGGCGACTGGCCTACAGGATGAAAATGGGCACACTCCCGAATCCAAAATCCCCTAAAAAGCCTGTCTGTAAGTTTATGCTTCCCAGGATTCCACTGCATCTTCAGCATTATTTCATAATTACAGTTTACGAACTGCAACATCTCTCACTATCAGCTCTCCTTAGTCATTTTAGGCACAATAATATCCCCGCTGGATAAATGCAGCAGTGTTTTCATTGACTTTTATTGACCTTTTGTGCTGGTAATTGGCATTCTCAGAGGCATTAGTATTCATTGTCCGTCCTCTCCATGCTGCTACGTAGACATGTTTTTAAAAGGGATGAGAGATGGAGGGGCACAGAGACGGAGAAAGGGATCACAGATATGAATTAATCTCTTTCATGTTTGGTCCATCTGGCCGGCAAGCAGGCTGAGAGTTAAGCTTAAGTAGATCCAGACAAGGTTACAAGAGGCGCCCACTGAGACACAAAGCCTCAACAATACATTACACTTCTCACTTTCTCACTTGATACTATACAGGTGGCGTGTAAACATCCAGGTGAGTGTGTAATGTGAGTGGTGGCTCTTCCTGGTGCATAAGCTGCATGCGATCCGATTAGGCCTGAGCCACGGTGAGACAACAAGAGCTTAGCAATATGGCAGCTAGCCCTGCCACGCCACGCTGCAGCAAACCTACAGGGACTCTTCTGTCTCTGCCTCCCTCCACGCTCCTCCAGCTCTCTGATTAATTCCTCTAAATCCCAGCAGGGGCCCTTTAAATGTGGATCCCCCCCTTGTCTCGTCTATGGCGTCACTGACGACGGCAAGAAAATCTCTTCAAATTTAAAATCTACAATACCTTCATAAATTTCCCAAATGTCATTCTCTGATCTGTCACCAAAATGATCTGTCCTTTACCTACTCTAATGATTATGTTTTACACTCTGTTTTCCTTTGATGCATACAATATCAGATGACCACGGATGTGATAAAGGTGGGTACATGTGCAGCAACAAAACAAACATGATTCATCTCGAACACGCAGACACATCTTCACACAAAACACACAATGGAAAAATTTCATAGAGGCCTCAAAGTATGGAGAGGTTGCATGTGTGCTAGTGGGATTTCTACTGCTTCTAGCTTAATTCCTTCTCTCCTGCTGTTAGTGCACCAAACCAGAATAGCGATTCTTTGCTGTGTGTGTGTGTGTGTGTGTGTGTGTGTGTTTGTGTGTATTGTACCAGGTAATGTGCAGACAGAACAGCATCCCTGGAGACTTTAGCCCAAGCAGAGGTTGTCAAAGATAACAATAGCTCCTCTTTTCTTTTGCGTCATCCTCAGTCCCTGGTATCTTTTGTTCTGTTTTCCCTCCTCATCTTTACTTTACTGCAGTTTCAGCTGCTGTTCTAATGTTCTTTGCTCCTGTTTCTGTGCTGCAAGAGAATTTTCAGCACACCCATCATTTGTCTATTTTCTAAAATCAGTGCATATTGTCGTACATTCGACAGAATTTAGACGTAGATGAGTAACAGTTGTATATTTGTAGGTTTTAATATGTGAGGCAGATTGTACCCCAGCTGCACATTTTTGGGGAGGCTAGGCTTTTTTAATGTGTGTGTGGGTCGCAGAGACCAGGCTCACACATGGGTCCTTTCCAGATGAAGGGAAAACACCTTTCTTGTCTCCTCTCTGTTCTCGTAATGTCAGATCTCTTCATCAAGACTTCGTTATTGGCCGTTGCCTCTAACAGCTTTCCTTCATTATCTCTTGGCTGCCCCACCACTCTCGCCTCCTGCTGTTTGCCTGCCTGTCCATGGCCCGCCCCGCTGTTTAACTCTTCCACTTCCCCTACTCCTTAACTCTTCCAGGTCTCTTACCCTGTACTTACTCCCTCTTCTCCCTGCTTGCCTCCCTACAGAGGACTGTGACTGTGAGGGCTATTTCAATGGACAGTACATAGGTGAGAGCGTGCACATCTTTCTCCACCTCCTTCTCCCTATTTGCTCTTTGCCTGCTGCAGCCTGACTGTGCGCTGGGTCCCTGGGTGCTTTAGGTGCTGGGGGTCAAAATTACTTTTTGTAGGGTTGACCTGTCTGGGGCCAGGGTTAAGGGAAAAGAGGAAGGTTTTGAAGGGTCAAGAGACGGGGTCAAAGACAGTGCCAGAGGAGGAAGATGGATGAGGGTAACTTGGTTGTATTTGTACAAGGGAAGATGTGCAGATATAGAAAAACAAACCTGTTACAAGTGTTTGTATCACACCTGAAAGGGAAGTAATGTAAACAAAATGTGTAGGAAGTATCGTCTCACATTTCTGCAGGTGAAAGTAACAGATCTGCCTCTTCAGACTCTCCACTGCAAAATGAGTTAATAGAGAGGATATGTTAGTGTCTGATATCACAGTACAGAAGCAAATCAAACTTGGACTGTATTTTTGTACTATATAAAAACAAAGTGATGATTTGTTTAGAACAGAATTTGTTTGTCTATAGTTTCCTAATTATTTCAAGATAAGTTTCCTGAGAAGAACTATGTAATTTGGTGCTACTTATAGGATAGGAGACACTTAATTTGTACACTTAGTACTAAATTAATAATAATAAAGTAATAAACCAAATAATTACTACCATGAAGAGTATTTTAGTCTGTGCAGAGCAGGCCAGCTGAAGATGCCAAAACATGAACCATACAATTCAACATATTACTATACTAATTTAATACCAAATTACACTTATTGTGAAGTATTAGGAAAGCATGGACCTGTTATATAAAACATTACCAAATATTACTACAATAACACTGAATGTTTGTACTTGTATTTTTATAGGTAGACAGGTATTTCTTTGTTATGACAGGCTTTACTGACTTCAAATTGGGCTGGAGGGGAATACATTAGTCCCCTTGAACCTCAACCCCTCTCCTCTCTAGCCTTCCACTGACCTTCCCTCCCTCACCCTTCTTCAGCCTAACCTGACCCCGTTTACTCCCCCACATCATGTGAGCTGCTTGGAATGATGGTTAGCACAAGGAGAGATCTAAATACAGCTTAAAGCTTCTCAGGACCTTCTGTAACACAATGTACATTATTAAAACAATATTTGTGCTTCCTATCATGCACTCTGCTTGAAGCTATAAAACCCTCCCCTTTCCATCCCTCTGCCCACCCCCTCCACCTTGCAGTGTTTGGATTCTCCTAAACCTCCCTCCCTCCCTCCTGCATCTAACTAACTGTCCCTGCTGCTGTGCTGTAGCCAGTGCACTGCTTCCCCCTTCCCCAAAACACCCTCCCTGTTCCTCCCATGAGGGCCCTGCTGCGTTGGACGCATTGCACACTCAACCAGGCACGTTTGCTGCTCGTTCACCCTGTGTGGAGGTGTAAGGCTGGGTTGTGTGATGCTCTAACGCCAGTTATAGTCTCTCCTAAGTGTAAAGCAGTGGCGCCCTCCTGTGGCCAGGTGTTTTCCTGGGAATTTTATACAGGTACAGTGCCCCGGCTCATTCCCTCAGGTACACACCACTGACGGGGGATACAGACAGTCCTGACCATGGGAGACCCCGATTTGCAGTCGCTCTCTGCTTTTAACGTGGTGTTTCTCAGGGCCAGGCTGTCCTGTGTGTCCTGCCTCAACACTGTAGCCTCGTTCAAAGCAGCATGCCTTGTTTAGACCATAATATTGGAAAATTATGTATATTGTGGGTCACTGAAATCGGTTTTGAACTGCTGAATGAGTCTTCATCACTTTAAAAAACTTAATTCAAGTAATGTTTTGCTTTAAATAGTCTGCTTCAATGTCGTGCTTTAAGAATTTCACCTGTTTTTACTGTCAGCTGCATGTAATCTAATTTTAGTTGAAGCATGATGTCGAATTAGCTGTTAAGTTCATCTAATATCTCGCTCTATCAAGTATTTACGCTTCAGACAAGAGTGAGCTATTTTTATCCATGCACACTATTTACCAAGGTTTTTTTTAATGCATGATTACTAATGGGTTGGTCTTGTATTTATTCAAAACATGTTTGTTCACTGCACTTATCTAATAACTTTCTTTAAATGAAAAAAATTTATCTGCATCATGGATATGAAGTAGTGTACTTATGATATGTAATCTTGTTTAATTAAAAAGTTTGGTTACATGACATCTGACCCAAGACCTTCTTTTTCTGCTTCTTCTTCCGATCCCTTCCCCGGCCTCGCTGCAGCTGGTTTGCGAAGGAGTTTCCGGCTTAGTCGTAAGGACAGGCAAGGATCCTCCGGAGAGGGCTCTGATCCTGGAGATCCCGAGTTCCTGACTTATGAAGAGGTGACCCGCTACCAACAGAGGCCCCATGAGAGGCCCCGTCTGGTGGTTCTGATTGGTGAGGCTGAGCCGCTGAAAGGCACAAATATTCTCCTGTGATGATAGTGACACCTAGTGGATTAAAGCATGTGTTGCAACATACTGATGACCCAATTCTTACAGCTTTTTTCAAAATGATGATGCTTGTGAAGTTCTTTATTTTTTATTCTCCTTTAAACACAACCGGCTTGCAAAGGTTCTCTTGGAGCACGAATCAATGAACTCAAACAGCGGGTGATTGCTGAAAACCCACATCGTTTTGCAGTAGCTGTACCACGTGAGTCAGACAACAATTAATGTTGATACTGTCTATCAAAGAACCATCATTACACTACACATACAAGTAAATTCCTCTTCTGTGTTCCCACAGATACCACCAGGCCCAAGAAACCTCATGAGAAGGAGGGGGTGGAGTACCACTTTGTCACCAAACAGCAATTTGATGCAGATGCTTTAAACAACAAGTATGTTTATGCTGATATGGTATTGTTTTATGTAAAGATATGTGATTTGTTTCCTCCTGAAGATTAAGTATGTTTTTTCTCCCTAGGTTCATAGAGCACGGGGAATACAAAGAGAACCAGTATGGCACAAGTATAGAAGCTATCCGCTCTGTACAGGCCAAGAATAAGATGTGCATAGTGGACGTGCAGCCTGAGGTAGGAGTCATGTTACAACCAATAAGCACATCTTGTTTAATGTGCATCCAAATGTATCACAATGCACCTCAGTCATATCATGATCAGATCCTGCAGGCAGCAGCAGTTTGCTGAGTAGATGAGGGCAGGCAGTCACTCACATCAGATCTGCTCACTGTGTGGAGATTCCGATGCATCATGTTGACCTTCTCCTACCATGTCTGATTTCTGACCTCTGTTTGCCGTTTTGTATGTAAATCCTCCCCCTACTTCAGGCCCTGAAAAGGCTACGGACAGCGGAGTTCAAGCCCTATGTAATATTTGTCAAACCTCGTGTTCCTGAGAGCAGACGTCGCCGCAGCGCCGCCACCTCACCAGGAGGGGGAGAGCATGGCCGCATGACAGTGAGTCCTAAATTTTCTCTTGGCAATAATAGTGGTGTTCCAATTCAGAGGCTTAGAAGGCTTCTTTAGTCCAAACCTGGAGTACATGCATCTTTCATGTAAATATTGAATACCGTTTAATGGCGACACAGAAAATTCTTGCCAACTCATAAAATTTGGACAAATGTGACCATTTCATAATGACCAGGTATTTGTGTTCAGATGGTCATCAGTCACTTGTAAATGTCAAATGAACTAGGCCAATTGCAAAAGGTACTGCAGGGTGTAAAGATTGGAAGCCAGACACAAACTTCACCAACCTGGACATGTTAATCCCCAGGCATTACAGGAAAATGTATATATTTAACAGTAAACTGCAACATTATTTTGCAGTTGTCCACAACTGGCATCAGGTTTTGTCACAAAGTATTGGCCATTGCAGCATGAAAAGCTGTGCAATAGCACCATTGGTTTTGGTCTCTGAAGCTAGACTTTCTCATTTATGGAGGAAGAACAGATTCAGTCTTCAGGTCCTACATAGGATTCATCTTTATGGGATGCATCCTTCAAAAGGTTCCCATGTCTATGTTGGGCACAGTAAGGTTATACCTGGGGAGGAAGGTGGTCAGAGTTTTCCTGTATGTCTCATTCTGTATAAGTAATTACATTTTGCTTTCTGCAACAGGATGAAGACCTCCAGGAGATGCGTCAGTCTGCTATTCAGATTGACCAGCAGTATGGACACCTGGTTGACCGGGTCCTGATCAAGGAGGACTCAGCCAGTGCCTGTACAGAACTGCGAGGTATCTTAGAAAGGCTGGAGCGAGAGTCCTTCTGGGTGCCTGTCAGCTGGGTGCGGACCTAAACTTACTCCCCCTGTATTATCCAGAAGAACTTCAGACAACCCACCCAAATCCTACACCAGTCCTCTCCTAATGAGCAGATCCCACCCCCCTACCCCAAATGTCCTTCTGGCCAGCCTAGGAATCTGCTGAACTCCCTCTGACTGATGCAGGACTGGTCAGACAACCATAAACCGAGGCACCAAAGGGAGTGGATGATGTCAGAGGAATACCTCATTGTCTGGGGTGATGCAGCAGATTGTCAGCTCTCTTGGCTCAAATCAGTTTAAATACCCAAAACTCAGTCTTACGGGCACTTCCTCAAGTCATATTTATTCAGGTTTGGTTTTTATGCGTTTGACTTTGGAGCCAAGAGACAGATTGAAGTTTGTAGTTGAAAAGCAGTGTTTTATTCCCAGTCACTCTTTCTAGCTGCATTGTTCACTAGAGTGTCAGGTTTGGGATCCCTCTCAGAGGATTGCTCAGTCAGTCAGCTTTATTGTGACTCTTGTTGGAGTACCTTTTAGTAGCATGGTTTTTTTTGGTTTTACTCAACTCAATGCCAATCCCAGAATGCTTCCAGTTAATTCCTCCTGCTCATGTATCCTGGACAGTATAAGAACCAATCATACATTCAACAGGACTTATTAATATAAATTTAAGTGAATGCCATTTGAAATTGTTCTTTTTGCTAAACCATAAATCTCATTTACACACACGGACAGAAACAAAATGATATCCAAATGGAATGTGAGAATTTTATTTTCTACAAAACTGTTTGTTTTTAGGAAAAGCATGACAACTGATCATTTAATCTCAGATGTAAATATTGTAAATGTTACTCCTCGTGTGCCAACGAAAGGTCTCGTAGCACTTCAATGCAACCTGTTTACCGTTGATCCCTGGGAACTCACATGTGTTTGTGTGTAGAATAATACTGTGCACAAAGTATGTGAGGATGGATGTCAGTGTATGTGCACATGCATCAACATAAGATGCTAATTTTACTTACAGGAATGGGTTTTTAACAGTTTCCTTGCACATATCTGCATTATGTATTTATGAGGTCGGTCGGTACTAGATGTCTGTTTTCTTTGATAATCAGGGTTTTGATTCATTGATGTCTTGTCAGACTGGAGATACATTGTTGAGATTGGAGACCAAATATTCACAGATTTCAGAATCAATTTGTCGATGCATTGATCAGTAGAAAAATCAAGCAAATGTTTTGATAATTGATTAATATTTAAGTATTAGCAAAAATGCAAAACATTCCCTGGTTATAATTGTTTATTTTCTCTCTAATGGTTGTTAAACATTCCTGCCTAACACAATTTTGAAAGTATTGGGGTGGGGGCAGTCCTCATTCTGTGTAAAAATGCTTTAAAAGTTTAGTGCAGGCTAACACACACACACACACACACACACACACACACAGTATAAGGCTTTGGAGGTCTATGTTGGCCAAATCAAGTGGGTATGTTCCAAAGTCTGTTTTTGTTACCTTCTGCTGAATGTCAGCAAGGTATGCTGTCTGGTCAAACGACGAGTGAATTTGGTACCAACAATACAGTAACTTTAGAAGAGAATCATTTAACTCAGAATGAAGCCTCATTAGCTTCAGCTGAACTGAAGTAGTAAAACAATTTCGTCACCATCACTTATACTAAAATCATTTTAGGAAGAGATCTTTTCACAACCAGTCTGGAGAAAGGGAATAATTACATTAACTAAGAGCCCCTTCAAGGTAAATATGGCATGCAAATATTATAAAGAAAGACTTAAAAATGTGAACCTATCCTAATGAAAAACCAGTTATCTATATGGCTTGACAAAATTTTGGATAAACTATCTTGAGTGTGTGTGGTGATACCGAATTAAAAATAAAAAACATGCAATGTTCAGATCTTTACATGTGCTGTATGAACCAAGAAACCCTGAATGTTGAGTTTGTAATGTGACATGTACAAAGTGCCATAATAAAGCTAGCTGAATCAAAAACAAGTCAGTAATTCTTAACACCTTGAGGTTTCAAATGAAATCCGGCAGTTTAGTGTGATTACCTCTCAGCTGTTCTTGGCTTCAGTGCAGTTCATTTAAGTGCATCCTCGGTTTGTGTCCACAAGAGCACTCCACATCACAGCCATGCTTTCTTGGTGGTGTGCACTAGGGAAAGACTGCCACAGTAATAGATACAATAAAAACAAATTGAAGTTCTTTGGCCACATTTGAGTGGTCTATTGTGGCCCACCTAAGCCACACCTGTGCAATACCCATGCTGTCTGATCAGCATCTTGCTATGCCACACCTGTGAGGTGGATGGATTATCTCAGCAAAGGAGAAGTGCTCACTAACACAGATTCTGACAGATTTGTGAGAAGATCGCTGAGTTCAGCTCATGAACGGGGGCAAAAACAAAAGTGTTTATAATTTTGTAAAGTGTAAAAACGTATTTCCCTTTCATGCCTTTTCTGCAGTAAACACCTTTTTGGACTTGCACCCATTCTTCATTACCGATCCCATTCAGTTTCTATAATTGAAAAAAGATAGGAAGCCCATTATTTTGCCTGTGTAGCGCAGGTTTTTGTAAGTTTTGTGAGGGTTCATCATCAGCTCTCTCTCTCATATGCAATTACCTCTGCGAACATCCTGTGACTCCTGAGACTGCTGCTGACAGAGTCAATTAAACTGGGTAACAACCATTCTAATTAGTGAAGCTGCTCCACTGAGAAAATGGAACCGTTAGTGTGGAGGTGTGCTGAGGCTGTACACAGATCCACTGACATTCATTATGGACAAACAAAATGTGCAGTGATTCACAGCACAGCAGTTAAAAGGAGGCCACATATTCTTTATACCTACCAATAAATACCACATCTGTTTTGAAGGAGATATATACACTGCTCAAAATAAATAAGGGCACACGGAAATCACACATCAGATTTTGAACAAAATTGTTCAGAATCTTTACTGTACATTCAGTGGAAACCAAAATCACCAACCAACTGAGGGCTGGATTCTAAATCACACCGAAAATCAAATTTTAAAAAAATGAAATCACAGGCTGACCAACCTTTCTTTGATGAGAAGATCTGATGTCTTTGCCTCATGCCTAGACTCAGGATGTGTTTAAAGACTGAAAACAAAACAGGGGGAAACAGCTAGTCTAGTCTGCCTATGTTTAAGTAAAAAACTTCACCTATCAACACCTCTAAAGCTGACTTCTTCATCATATATCTTCTGTGTTTAACCTGTATATAAACAGACATGTAACAATGCAAAAATGACACCATGCAAGCAGCTCTGAGAGGCTCTACTTAAGCCTCTTTTACATTGGACAAAAAACCCACTAACACCTGCTAACATCAACCTCTTGATTTCAGTGGGAAAGGGTATAATCTGCATTAACTCCCGGGTGAAATGACTCAGTAGTCACAAGTATTTATTGGATCCAGAGCCATGTAAAGTGGACATGGATGTCTCATCCATATCTATAAACTATTTTTAGCATTTAAAAACCTGAATATAAGTCCAAATTTTGGTGTTGTGGCACTGTGCCCCTTTGACCTATATGCTAACATCAGCTAACAATAATGCTAAACAATGCTGGCACACTGGTGAAAAGCAAGTGTGTTTAACATGTTTACCATCCAAGTTAAGCATATTAACATGCTAACTCACACCCACAAACACCACAAAGTATGAATTTTAATGGAAATCTGATAGTTTTAGAAAATTGTTTGTACCAAAGTGGTGGACAGATGACGCTAGCATGATTAAGAAAAAAACAAACAAAAAAAAAGTGTGGTTTTGGAGGTGGATGCAAGATACATTGTGTAAATGAGAGTTTTTCATTGCATTTTTTTTGTCACTTTTGACCAAACCAAGCTAACTGTTTCACTTGCACATGTCCTGATTTCAGCTTCGTTCTTAGTACATAGAACATGAGATTAATAGCATCAAATCTTATCTTCACACTGTCAGAAAGAAAGCTTATAAGCAGAATGTCTTTGTCTTTAAACTCGCTAGATAACTCTCTTGCCTCTCCAGTGAGCATTTATATGATTTAGGCCTACAGTTTCATGGCCTTGCAGTTTTTTTGCTCTACAAAATTAACGAAGTGGGAATAAATCCACTTGAAGACTTTATGGTTCATTATCTTTTTATATTGTAAACCTATATCTACAATTATATTTCAATTGAGGCTTGAGCTTAAAGAGGCTGGTCTAATGCAGAACAATTGTGTGTCAACTCAAAAAGGAAAAACTACTTAACCTTTTAGTTTATTCATATTCTTAGCAAACAGAAACTCGGGGATTGCTTTGTCCTTGAGTACACTGAGAATACCTATGAAGTTACAAAAAGTTGTTCAGATGGACTTGGATTTCCCCAAGGACAAAACAGAACAAGGACAATCTTGTACAACCGTGCAAGGAATTGTAATTAGCTGCACATTTACTTTTAACTTCATGATTTAACTTTTTTCTATTAGTTTAAGATTGGGTTTGGATTCTCTCTGTTTGCTCATAATGAGGTTCTCTCTTTTTCTAACATTGTAAACCCAATTAACTGAGGGCACAAGGTAATCAAATTTAAGACATAAAAAATACAATATTTAACAGAGAGACTGAAGTAGTGACAGAATGTGTTTTCAGGCACGAAAAATAATAAAGATGAACATGAACCTTGTCTGAGGAGAGCCTTTGAACTCATTTGGGCCTTAGAGGCGGCTATAATGATGATGATATATTGTGCTATAATTGAATCGGAATTCAATTACAGGTATATAGTGTTTGGCACAGCAGCACCTCTGTATGAGCCAGACTGGATGTAATTCAGGTTTAGGGCCCTATAGCTGAAGATATAGTGGAATTAGAGAACAGCTCTCATCTAAGGGCATTTCCTGGAGATGGATGAGGTGACCTTCAGATTGTGGGTGCTTCACACTCATTTTGCAGTTTGAAGTATGGTATAGAGATGCACATCATTCAGAAAAAAAAGTGTTTGTTAACTAAAGAATCAGAGTTCTTATAACAGAAATTACCTCTTTTAATTTCTAACGGAGAGTGAATTAAAAAAAGTTGACCTATAAATTATTGCAGGAAGAGTTGAGGTGATTCTAATAATGTCTACAGACACTGTCATCTGTTTGCAGTATTTGAAATTTAATTATCAGAATGTATTGCCTTTTCTAAAGTACAAAAGAAAACATTCTCTTACCTGTTTTGTTTTCTCTGTGCAGAAGTTTGATTTGTTGTCCATGAACAGTGATATGTCATAAATTAAGCCATTGTTCATCTGCTTTGTGTGTGTGTGTGTTTTGTTCTTTTTGAGCAGAAGCTAATGATGACAGGTGTTGCCAATGACTTGATTAACCAGCTGCAGAGTGAGTCACTTTAGTCGAGGGACTCACCGTCTTTTTATAGAAACTACAAGAGCTGCTTCCAGATGTTTTCATTGTATTAAAAAGTTTCTAATTTATCTATTTTTTGAAATTCCGTTTAGAAGTGTTACCTAGCCTAATAGTGTAACAGATGAAATAATATAATAAAATGACATGTGCATCCACCTGACTAGCTCTTCAAAGCCTTTCAAAAGGTCATGTTTGACACATCTTGACTTTGACATCAACTGTACCAAATATAAACATATAATATACTGTAAAGAGGGGCCTCAACTTCCTGAAAGACCTGTGATTTTAGATGTTTTCCATGGTTTAGACTAAACCAATTAGTTCCAATCAAGAGAAATCAAGGGAAGAGAAGTAACAATCCTTCAGATTTTTCAGATCATATCAAAATAAATTTTGGATACTGGGTCTGCCATTCCTGCGCTGGATTCAAATGGTATGCACCAACACATATGTTTCCTGTTGTACTGACGACAACAGCCGACACTAATCAATTGCACATAATTAAAGAGGAAACAAGAATAGCTACAGCAATTTATGAAGAAGACTTTACACTTTCATTATGGCTAAACAACAAGAGAATAGAAAACAGCCCTCTGAAAGCCAGGAGTTATCAGCGCCTCCAACTCAAAAAGCCAAACCAGCTAGGCGATCTGAGGAAGCACACATGTATGCAAGTACATACTATTTGAAATACAAGTTTGCTTCTAACTTTATGGCAACAGTTTGGAGAGGGCCCATACCTATTTCAACATGACTAAGTCCCTGTGCACAAAGTCAGATCTATTCCCCAGTTTGGTGTGGAAGAACTGAAGAAGATTCTTGACCTCAACTGATCCATTAGCAATTTAAATTGAATAGTTTGTTGTTATGTTGCAGTTTTCACCTTTCATCTTCACGATCATTGAAAATGTTATCCAGTAAAGTTCACTTTTCTTTTTTGTACTGTACATATTATGATGATTCAAGAGTTAAGTTAATTTTCCATTACATGGTTCTACAAAAAACTAAAATATTGTATAATATTGTTGTTTAAATTTAACATATTTATGTTTGCTAACTTTTTCTCAAAAGTCTGTAAATGAAGGCAACATGAAATATTTATCTATTATTTACCTTCTCAGGTATTATATAGTAAATGTTTCTGCCAGAGATTTATGAATTCTACAGTGATGGTCTAAAGGTAGGGTTATGAGAGTAGTTCAAGCTGGTTTTAATTTTTTACATTATTGCTTGAAAATATGCAGCATTCTGGTTCTGGCATATTTGTATTTATGACATTCATTCATTTGTGCTTCCAGTAAAAACCTCAAAGATCGACTTCTGTCTTCATAGTTTATTGGAAATGCATACAGTAGCTGTGCACCTACATGAATAGTGAGGGCAGAAAATTTGAGATGAACTGGAACGCTGACGGCAAGAAAAGCCAACATCACATCTAACAACTAATGACCTTGTAGATAAATGGGAGCAAAACACTGCAGCCAGGTTCCAAAATCTTGCGGAAAGCCTTCAAATACAAGTGGAACATGTTACAGCAGCTTTTTTAATTAGATATTTTCAGCCATATATCATCATAGAAAATCAAACTTCAGATGAGGTACACAAAAGGCATCTCTCTGATATAGAATTATGGATTATTTGTCCATAAATTAATTAACATTTTATCACCAAACTGACCCTGTCATGGCATGATTATAATTGTTTATGGCCTCCTCACAATGTCATAGAAAGATATTATTGAGGTCACATCAAATGAGCTACTATATCACCACTAGATGGCACAAGGAGAACACGAGGCAGCCCAATGTGGGAAAGATATTTTTGGCAGGAGATGGTGTCAAAGATGTTTTCACCCTAAAATTGTTTTGTGATGATAATGTTAACATTCTAATTCTACCTGCCTTCAGGCACCGAGAGCCATGTCACACTCGACTTTGTTTATTCACTTGTGCTGTGAGATATGAGATGAAATAAAAAGCTGGTAAATACATATTTCTCAGGAGTGATACTGATGAAGGCCACGTGTTATTGAATCAGAACTCAACATCTGGTCACGATAACATGCAGCAGAGGTCTGCTTCTCCACTATCAGACAATCAAATCTAATAAGTACTGCCTCTAAGGTACCGTACAGCACGAAGGCCACACACTAATCTCCCCAGATGACTTTTTTTCATAATGTAACTTGTACCCAAGAAGATATCTCAGTGATGGATGAGCTGGAGAACAAATGATTGCAATAGTGGAGGCTCTTCTCTAAAGGTTTCCTTCGTGTCCTTAGTTCCATTGCTTTGGCCCAGATCTCCCCCCGCAGGTAGTGTTATCTATCACTGTTTGGCACAAAACATTTTACTGAGGAGCACACACCCAGACATGAACACACATGCACTATCACTCATTCCCCAACCTGTTCCACAGTTATGACTGTGATTGCTTTGGGATTTTTTCTGTTCTATTTATTATTTATTTGTCAATTTTAATTGAAATCAAAATGTAAATTTATGAAAGTTTTTATTACTTGCACTGGAAGGATTGAGAATAGATTCTTGGGAAACTTTTGTATAGCCAGTAGTTATGTAGTAATATTTAATAATGTGCAAGCTCTACAACCTGTGGCGTCAAGATGTGTGAGGATTTTCTGTAAAGACAGTCATCTTTATTCACATTCTTACTTATTAGAGGGAAATAAAATTATCCTTTCAGCTCTTTCCCATACATCTTTTTCTTCAGTTAAATTACATCTCAAAATATTTTTCATCAGTTCTCATTTTAATATTTGGAACTTTTACCCATGCTAGCAGCACTAGGGTTGATTCACCGCATTGGTTCAGACTGTCCCCCCCAAAAGTATTGGAACGGTAGGGCAAATTCCTTTGTTTTTGTTGTTCACTGAAGGCATTTGGGTTTAAGATCAAATGATGAGTATGAGACAAGAGTTCAGAATTTCAGCTCTCATTTTGTGGTATTCACATCTAGATGTGTTAAACAACTGAGGACATACCACTGTTTGTATTAGATCACAGCATTCTTAGGTGAGCAAAAGAAATGGAACAAATAATCTTAAAGTAAATAACATTTAATATTTGGTGGCACAACCCTTGCTTGCAATAACTGACTCAAACTGTTGCATTCTTCATTTGTGATGCTATTCCAGGCTTTTACCGCAACTTCTTGTTTCAGGGTGTTTTTCCCTTCAGTCTCCTCTTGGGGAGGTGAAGTGCAGCTCTATTGGGTTAAGGTCAGGTGATTGACTTGGCCAGTCGAAAACTTTTTCTCCCTGATGAAGTCCTTTGTTTTGTTGGCAGTGTGCTTTGGGTCATTGTCCTGCTGCATGATAAACTTCCTTCCAATGCAACAATCATTCTGCTGCTTCCATCATCAATAAATATTAATGAGCCTGTTCCAGAAGCAGCCATGCAGGCCCAAGCCATGACATCACCTCCACCATGCTTCACAGATCAGCTTTTATGCTTCGGATCATTAGCAGTTCCTTTCTTTCTCCACACTTTGGCCTTTCCATCACTTTGGTAGAGATTAATCTTGGTCTCATCAGTCCATAAGATCGTGTTATAGAACTTTTGCGGCTCATCTCTGTACTTCTTTGCAAATTTCAATCTGGCCTTCCAACCCTTGCTGCTGATGAGTGGTTTGCATCTTGTGGTGTGGCCTCTATATTTCTGCTCTCTGAGTCTTCTTCCCACAGTGGATTGTGATACCTTCACCCCTGCACTGTGGAGGTTGTTGTCACTTACTGATGTTTTGAGGGTTTTCTTCACAGCTCTCACGATATTTCTGTCTTCAAATACTGTTGCTGTCCTTGGCCGACCTGTTGGACGTCTGTTGCTCAGTACACCAGTAGTTTCTTTCTTCTTCAGGACATTACAAATTGTTGTGCTTGCTATGCTCAATGTTTGTCCAATGGCTCTGGTCAATTTTCCTTCTTTTCTCAGCTTGACAATGGCTTGCTTTTCTCCCATAGACAGCTCTCTGGTCTTCATGTTGATTTATCCTCTTTAACAGGAAATGCAGTCTTTATAGGTTTGAACCAAGGATGAAAACTTAGACTAGTTAATGTTTGAACAATCAACCTAAAAGGCAACACCTTTGCAACAAGAAACACATGTTCCAATAGTTTTGCTCACTTAAAAAATGGGTGGGTTCAAACAAAGGGTGGTATGTCCTGAGTTGTTTAACACATCTAGATGTGAATACCACGAAATGAGAGCTGAAATTCTGAACTCTTGTCTCATACAAATCTTTTGATCTCAAACCCAAATGTTTTCAGTGAACAACAAAAACAAAGGAATTTTCCCTACCGTTCTTTTACTACTATACTTTTGGAGGGGACTGTATATCATAAGCTTTATATGGATCTTGTTATCAGTTATCTTGTGACCTAAACTACCTAACAGTACATAAAGCAGGTACAACTAGCCCCATTTCTACCAGTAAACCAGTAGAACCAGTAGAACAGTAAAAGTACTTTCACATACATTTAGCTACTACTACTATTCTGATACTACTTTAATTTAAGTAGGATTTTGAAAGCATGACTTTTACTTGTAATTGGGTATTTTATATTAAACATTAATTTTTTTTACATTAATGTATTGGTACTTTTACTTCTTCTTCTTCCACCACTGCTTCAGGGTACAGCCTTGAAACAAATAAAAACAAAAACACTATGATGCTGAAAAATGTGATGTCAGCTCTAATACTATGACATGTCTGTCAAGTCAGCCTTGGGAATCATGTTGACAAAGCTGATTTTAAATTCCATCTGACCACAAATGCCACAAGTTTGTATTTCTTAATCAGACCAACCAGATTTCATAAAACATACTCATGAGCCAAGTTTAAGCCAAAATCTGAAGGTTCGCTTCCATTGTGCACAAGAACACGGCCCAACACACACGCCACTTTATGACTTCAGTTTCAAAGTCTT